CTCAGCCTCGCTCCCAGATGAAGATTCCCTGCCTCAGTCTCCAGTAGCTGGGATTACAGATGCACACCACCATGCTCAGCTAACTTTTGTATTTTTAGTAGAGACAGGGTTTCACCGTTGGCCAGCTGGTCTTGAACTCCTGACCTCAAGTGATCACCCACTTCAGCCTTCCAAAGTGCTGGGATTGCAGGTGTGAGCACTGCGCCTGGACTGACTCTTGAAATTTGAAAGCCTGCACATGGAAGCATAGTCCTCTGTCCTGAACTTCAGGGGAGAAGTTCTCATACCTTCTCCATCATTTCTGCCCCCACTTCAGAACCCTGCACGGGAATACTGCTAGTCCCTCCACATCCTCTGGATGGTCTGGGGAGGATGCTGAGTCCCAATCTCTTCCTCCCTCCTTGGGGAGCCCTGGCCACTCCCTCTTTTCTTTGTCCTGCTTTGCAGAATCTCCTGGCTCCGGACCTAGCTCAGACACCCTCCACACCAACTAAACCTGCTGACTGCGCTTGCTAATCCCAGACTGAGTTCTTCTGCTGCCTCCTACAGGTACCAGCTTCAGTCCCAGGAGGAGACCAAGGAGAGGCGACATTCCCATACCATTGGTGGGCTGCCTGAATCCGATGACCAGTCAGAGCTGCCTTCTCCCCCTGCACTCCCCATGTCTTTGAGTGCAAAGGGCCAACTTACCAACATAGGTTAGTGTTTTCAGTCACTCGCTGTGGCATGGGGCGAAGCAGGGGTCACCTTGCAGGGTGAGGCAAGGCAGGTGGGCTCTGGGTTTCATCTCCTATTTGACTCATGCTCTATTGGGTTGCTTCATGGTGCCTCAGTTTATCCACCCAAAGTAAGACTGAAGGTAGAGTACCTCAAGATCCTAAACTGAAAAGCTGCCCCCGGGCACAAGTCATAGGGTCCTTTTAGCATCACAGAGTCTGAACGGTGGCATGGAAAAGCCGCAACCCGATGCCCAGAGATCAAACCAGTGCAAGAGCAGGCACATCGAGCTGCCGGAAAGGAGCCACCACACCTGGTGCTACTAGGGCCGGCTAATGAAAGGGCAATACTGACATGTCAGGCTGATGTGGGGGAAGGAGGGAAAGGTTGTTGATTGCCAAGGACGAGATCTGCCTCCGAACGCAGCCAAGTCCTGATTCCTCAACTGCTCTGGCTGAGCCCACGCCATCCTAACCCTGAAGGCAGGGCTGACTAAGATGTGTCCTGGACACACCCTTCCCAAATCCTAAGCACAGAGGAGAGCGAGGGAATAAGGAAGTGACCTGGAGACAGAGAGGAGAGAAGGCGTCAGGTAGAGGGTCTTGCCTAGCATGGAAGCTCATCAGCCCCGGTTCTAGGAAGCGGTACACCAGGATTGGCCTATCAGGAACCCTTTCAGGAACAGTACCTGGGATAGGCCTGTTATCTGCTTGCTGCATCTCTTTAAATCCATCTCTTCTTTCAGCTGAGTAAAAGAAATCACTTAATAAAAGACAAGGACCTGTAACACACCCATGCAATGACTGTGGGGAATTTGAGGAAAGACTAGGAATTGGGATCGCTTGGCCTAGGAAAAAGAACCATTCTTCAGAAAGGATCATCTGGCTTCTGAAGGGCTATTAAATGGAGGATGGGGCCAGCTTGTTCTCCACCTCCATTGAAGACCAAACAAGAATTGCATTTATGCTGCAGAACAAGGGACTGGGTTAAGCAATCATTACCTGAGGAATTTGAAAAGGTCAACAGAGAGGTGTGCCATCTTCTGCATAGGTCTTTATGGACAGATGAGACATCCACCTGCCTGTGTAGAGGCAGAATAGACAGGGGAGCTCCTTGTGGGTGTGGAACCCTGAAAGGCTGTAATCCCAGCAAGGGGCAAAGGGGGAAGGCATCTGCAGGGTAACAGGATTCAGCCGAGACCAGCTTCAAAGCACATTCCACAAGCCTTGCCTGACACTTTCACCTGCCCTGTCCATCTGACCTTCAAGCCAGGGCTATGCTAGGCAAAGAGGACCATATTTCTTGATGCTTTAGAGCCAGCCCAGTAACTCAGAGTGACACTGCTTTGTGGGGAGACTCAGGCCCTTCTACAAGGCCAAGGCCACTGGATCCTGTAGCCCAAACCCCTTCTCTAGCTGGTTCTTTTTCATCATTCAGATCTGGATCTTGGTTTGAATTTTCAGTCCTCCCGAGCTGGAAGTTGTGTTTTAGAGAACCGCAGCATCTCATTTTCATCAGCACATCCTAGCGATGTGAAGGTTTCGAAAAAGCTGCCAGGCCCCCAGCCTAACCTTCAAAACCAACAACTCTGAGACAGGCGAGGTTGAGGGAAGGTCTTTATTCCAGACAGCAGGGTCCTTCTCCATCAAGGCTTGATCTCCCCAGGAGGGACCCCACTCCTAACCACCAGCTGCTGGCACACTCCCACCACCGCACCTGCCCCTTCCTCTCCTGCCCTCTCCCCGTTTGCCTCTCATGCTCCCGGTGCTCCATCCCCCAAGGGCCCGGAGAGCTGATGACCCTGCCTCTTTTCCCGCCCTCCCCCTCCCTCTCCTGTCCCCCTTCCCTCTGTCCTTCCAGTGAGTCCCACTGCGGCCACCACGCCAAGAATCACCCGCTCCAACAGCATCCCCACCCACGAGGCGGCCTTCGAGCTGTACAGCGGCTCCCAAATGGGGAGCACCCTGTCCCTGGCCGAGAGACCCAAGGGAATGATTCGGTCAGGATCCTTCCGAGACCCCACGGACGATGGTGAGACTCCATGCCAGCGCGGTTCACACTCATTCCAGCTCTGCTGGGTCCCCTCACCTGCCACCTCCACTCCCACCACTCCCACCACCACACACACATACGATTCACAGAACATCAATTTGGGCCATTTCAGTTTTTTCTCCCCATCCCTTTGAAGGGTCTGGGGGCCCAGAAACCTTGGGTGGCACGTCTAGCACTGGGGTATTGGGATGGAGCATCCATCATTGGGGCTGGGGGAGGGAAACTGAGCATGGAAGGGTTAAAGGGCACGCCTCAGGATGCTCTGAAAACCACAGCTTCTCTCCTCCCCATTCTAGCCATAGTCTTTCCTCCCCACAGTCTCTCAGAGTATATGAAAAGACAACAGGAAATAATAGTAGCTCTTAGTAAATCCTTACAATAATTAGGCATCTCATTCCTCTTTCAAAACTGTTCCAAGATGAGCATTAGGGAGGGCCATCTGATTGTTGGTGGTGATCCGGGTGTTAGTGTTGATCAGAGCTAGAAGACCAGGCTAATACTAGTAGGTTAGATCTCCCATTGTGATTTTCAGGATAGTCATTCCAGGAGGCATTCCCTGCAGACAGGCTTTAACCATAAGTTCTACTGAATAATCAGAACGAGTATTCCTCACTTAAATATCGTTTTCGTCTGAGTGATCCCCAAGATCTTAAGCACATCCCCCAGTGCTGAGAGGAGGCGGCACAGGCAGAATTGCAGTATTTGTTCTGAGAAACTCCCCTCTCCTGCGGCTAAAGTGCTTTCCTGGCTGGGAAGATAAGATGACGACTCTCCATGAAAGTCTCCTTTCCCTTCTCTGAAACCCTGTGCCCCTCGAAGCAGGCTGAGCAAGGGACTGCCATACCCAGGCCGCCAGAGAATGTAGGCTGAAAGAGGAGGCTAGCTTGACTTAAGACCTTGCTTTGAGCTGTTGTGATACCAGTTGGGTTCCCTACTCTGTTCTTTCTGTTTGCTCCAGATGCCCTCCAGAATCAGAATCCAAACTCCTGCCTTAGGGCTCTTCCCAAAAGCCCCCGTCCCTGGAACCCACGGGTAACTCTTTGGTCTCTCCTTCTCTTTCAGTTCACGGCTCAGTGCTGTCCCTGGCCTCCAGTGCCTCCTCCACCTACTCCTCAGTAAGAGCATGAACTTCTCTTCCCCTCTCCTCCCCTCTCCTCCACCATCCCATGCTCCCTAGACCCTCCTTGGAGTTGGGTAACTGGGCAAGGGATGGGGGCACTGCTATGTCTTCACTGTACCCAATGGGGTGGGAGTTAGGGAGGCAACTAGAGCTTGTAGCACTCACTTGGGTGCCTCGGGTCCTCAGTGGTCTTTCTGGCCCCACCACTAGCTTCTGAGCAACTCCGATGATTTTTGTTCCCCTCCTTTGAAAAATGGAGAATCAGCCGGGTGCGGTGGCTCAAGCCTGTAGTCCCAGCACTTTGGGAGGCCGAGGCGGGTGGATCACGAGGTCAAGAGATCGCGACCCTCCTGGTCAACATGGTGAAACCCCGTCTCTACTAAAAACACAAAAAATTAGCTGGACATGGTGGCGCGTGCCTGTAATCCCAGCTACTCAGGAGGCTGAGGCAGGAGAATTGCCTGAACCCAGGAGGCGGAGGTTGCGGTGAGCCGAGATCGCGCCATTGCACTCCAGCCTGGGTAACAAGAGCGAAACTCCGTCTCAAAAAAAGAAAAATGGAGAATCCCCATGTTAGCGAGCCCTTTCTGTGCCACAGTAGGTGGGACGCATTTATGGCAAAGTAAGATGAATAGGTTTCTAGGACCCGGACTCCAGAAACCTAGAGGAGACCAAGTGTGCATTGTGGAGCATCAGCCACAGCATTTGGCTATTGGGCATTTTATTTTTTGAGACAAAGTCTCACACTTGTCCCCCAAGCTGGAGTGCAATGGCGTGATCTCGGCTCACTGCAGCCTCCACCTCCCAGGTTCAAGTGATTCTCCTGCCTCAGCCTCCTGAGTAGCTGGGATTACAGGCACCTGCCACCACGCCTGGCTGCTTTTTTTTTTTTTTTTTTTACATTTTTAGTAGAGATGGGGTTTCACCATGTTGGCCCAGCTGGTCTAGAACTCCTGACCTCAGGTGATCCACCCACCTCGGCCTCCCAAAGTGCTGGGATCACAGGCATGAGCCACCGCGCCCAGCCAGCATTTCTTGATTCATAGATTTGTTTTGCCCCTAATTCTTTCCTCCAAGTTCCTGGCAATAACCACGAGTTCTCAGACCAACCAAAGTCTCATTTCCTAGCCTTTTTGGCAATGACAAAGTTGCCAGAGATGAGCTCCAAAGAAATCTTTTATTGAAACCCTAGTGTAGATCTGAGCTGAGGCCTGTGAGGAGCCAGGGCCAGGAAACAAGAGTTTCAGCCTCTGCGCCTCTGAGTCACGCTTCTTCACATTCTCTACCCTGCCACTGGGACCTGACTTCTTCACCTCCATAGTAACTACTTCCTTTCTCTTTCTCTCCTTCTGTGCTCCCTTCTTCAGGCTGAGGAGAGGATGCAATCTGAGGTAGGGTGCAAAGCTTTGGCTCTGCTTGTGAACATGACTGCTCCCATTTTCCTTCCAAATCTTACACAGCTTCTGCAGTCAGTAGTTTGTATTTCTCTTCCTTTTACAGCAAATCCGGAAGCTTCGTAGGGAACTGGAATCATCCCAGGAAAAAGTGGCCACCTTGACGTCGCAGCTTTCTGCTAATGTGAGTGCCATGAAGTCGGGAAAGATCTAGGCAGTGATTTTGACTGTAGACAAGTTCAGCCAAGGGAGGAAAATGGCCTGGTGAGGTATCCCCTGGACTGAGACTTCAAGGGCGTGGGTCTTCTTCACAGCTCTACGATAGATGAGGGGATTTTTTTCTTCCCCTTCTCTGAGCCTCAACTTTTATGAAGAACCATTTTACTTCCACTCTAATTAATAGGTCTGGATGAGTTCATGTCTGATGGTCTGAGCTCCCTAGAGAAACAGAAGATGATTGATTATCAGTGGTTCTGCATGGAGGCAGAAACAACCTTGCCATTGGCCATGGACAAAAGCAGTTATGGATTATAATTATATGGTTCTTAGAGCCTTTCCACTGCCCTGGGGTGTGTTCATGTCTTTCTTCATGCCACATAACTGTGCAGGCACAGAATTTGTCATTAGAATTCTGTCTGGTGACCACGACACCACTGAGAAACCTAACTCCCATTCTGGTCTGACTCCTTCATTCTCAGCTGCCTTTTCTGAGTAGCCTCCTCGGGCAGATAGGAGAAACAATCTGAGATCTAGGTTTGGAGCTAGAATTATTTATTTCTGCCCTCAGGACATCTACTCAGAATGAGTGTCTTCCTTTAGGCCTTAGTTTTCCTACTCTGTAACATGGGGAGAAATGAAGCCACCTCCTCTAACCAGGCTCTGGGAGTTTCTCCCCTGTGACTGAGTTGCAAACGGAGAACATAAGAGCCATTTTCCCCCAAAGCTGTAAACAACAGCTGAGCCGGATCTGCAGGAGCTTTCCAAGTGTTTGCACAAAAGTAACCATGTCTGCAATTTCCGCAGTCGTTTCTGGTTTTCTCTCTGCCCTTCCTCTCTGGGGAACCCAGCTGTCAGGCCTGGGGTCTATCCCTTAGAATTAGGTAGAAGAATCTCCACCAAGATTCTGAATGTTTCCAGCATACTTCAGCAGCAGTTCCCTCACCACATGAGTTATTCTCTTGATTCTCTTTTCCCAAACCCTCAATTCTTAAGTTGTACCAGTTTGTTTGAAGCTCATGTTAAGCACTTTTCCCCACTCTTTGGGGACCCGTAAGAATTGTAACATAAACAAGAACCATCTTTTCTCTCCCTTGTGCCACACCCACCAAAGCAAATGGCCTGGGTCACGTCCTGCACACCCCAGGAAATTCATGTCTGGGAGATGCTGGGGTGGGGGTGGGGCGAGAGGCGCCAGGGAGGCAGAGAACATTATTATGTCTGATTCATTTACACTGCAATCTGTCAGCCACCATGCTGTCAAGGCTGGGCTGGAGCCAAGAAATTGAATTTAGAGGGTGATTTTTCTTAGAACAGGAAGTTCCATTTGGCTAAGAGAGAACGAACTAAACACCCAGACCTGGTGGGTTCTGCATCTTAAAGGCAGATTTTTGCCGAGGGCCAGAACCCTGCCCTCAAGCAGGAGATGGGATGCTGGGGCTCTAGGATGGGTCCACGGCTCTCTTCAGGATTCCCTGACTCCAAACCAAACTTTTGGCCTGTCCCATGGAGCTTCCTAGCTGCTGAGGCTGAGGGCACACCCTAGACAGAGGGGCCCAGACCTCTTTACCCCTCTCACCTGCTAGCTTTTGCAGCACCACTGCTTACCCCTGAGGTCTCACAGGTACCCTGGTCTGAGGTTGGGATTAGGGGAAGGGTCAGTGTAGGGAGAGGAAGCCCAGCCAGTGCAAAAGGGGTGGCCTGGGTGGGGAAAGGCCAGCACAGAAGCGCATATAGGGGTTCTCGGGGCCTCTCATGAGTAGTCTTCCAGGAACCATAAGCAGTCTACAAGCAGACGTGCAGGGATGCGGAGAAGACCCGAGGTCAGAAGACTGTTCCCTGCACAGCAGGCGAAAGGAAACTGCTCAGGTCATGGCATGGTCTAATCCCAGAGCCCAGGCCCTGACAGATTGATCGCCGAAGTGCAGGAGGAGGCTCTAACGGGACCAAAGGGATTGCCTCCAGCCCGGGTCCTATGAAGTAGGCTCCAGCCATGTGGGACCCAACAGGGAGGGGGAAGTGTAAGCCAGCAAGAGCCACGAGAGTGCCGTAGATTTCCTGGAGCTCTGCGTGAAGAAGCTGCGCGGAGCACATCCCCTTCGTGCTAGGGTCACCAGCTTGCTCAGATAGTCTCACGACGGCTATTTCTCCATCCCCAGGTGCTCCCCTTTCTAGCCCCAGGCCTCGTTTCCTTCACCTTCGCTATACATCTGGCAGCCAGTTGGCCAGCTAGAGGTCAAACTATGCCAAACCAAGGGGCCTTCGCTCCTCGGCTCAGCGCCTTTCTGAACTAGCCTGTCTGTTACCCCGAGAGCCCTTTGGTATCCTTCACTCCTCAATGAAACAGACCTGACACCTAGTGGCCAAACTGTGGAATGACCCTGCGGTTTCCTTCCAGCCCGGTAAACCTGGAGAATCCAGGAACGAGGAGCAGCGCAAAGCAGGAAAGGGTGAAGCAGTGGAGTAGCAGAAGAGGAAGATTGCACCGGATAGTTTCTGCTGGGAGATCATTGGGCCTCAAGGGGGCCGGCCCACTCCACAATGCGGGAATTAAACCAAAATAATAGGAACGACCCCAGAGGCTACGGCCCTCCTACCAAGTTGGCCACACCATGTATCACAGGGGGTAGTCCTACCTCTGTAGTTGATGGGTTTTAGATCTCAAGTCTCCAAGAGCCTCCAGACACCTGTCCTGCCCTTACCCTGGCTTCATGACTCGTGAAGCTGGTTCCCACCAGAAAATTTCTTTAATTTCCCCTTTGTCTGCTTCAGGAAATCGATATTGTTAAACCACCAAGAGATTTTCTGGCATTGGTCTGCTCTGAGATACAGGAAATCAGTTAAAACGATTTCCCTCTTGGTCATTGCCTTTCCCCCAGCCTCATGCAACTCAGCGATCCCTTTATGTGTTTGTTTCAGGCTAATCTAGTGGCCGCTTTTGAGCAGAGCCTGGTAAATATGACATCCCGCCTGCGGCACCTGGCAGAGACGGCCGAGGAGAAGGTGAGAGGCCTGGGAAGTGGGGGGAGGAATGGGTGCGGTGAAGGGGGTTCTCCTGGACAGAGAGGTCCAGGCTGACCTCCTCCTCTTGCTCAGGAGTGCCAGTTTCCCCCTCCCTCACTGTCACCCTGGATTCTCAATCTGCCCCCCAATACAGAGGGAACATATTCCTTATCTCAATTTCCAGCCCTTCTCTATGAAGTTTGGTAGATTTCCAATGCCTCGCCCATTGCCTAGCACATCATAAGGGCTCCTGCTAATCCCAACTAGTGACACTGTTTTTTTTTCTTTTTCTTTTTCTTTTTTTTTTTTTTGAGATGGAGTTTTATTCTTGTTGCCCAGGCTGGAGTGCAATGGCACAGTCTCGGCTCACTGCAACCTCCACATCCTGGGTTCCAGAGATTATCCTGCCTCAGCCTCCCGAGTAGCTGGGGTTACAGATGCCCACCACCACGCCCAGCTACTTTTTGTGTTTTTAGTAGAGACGTGGTTTCACCACGTTGGCCAGGCTGGTCTCGAACTCCTGACCTCAGATGATTCACCTGCCTCAGCCTCCCAAAGTGCTGGGATTACAGGTGTGAGCCGCCGCACCTGGCCGACGCTGTTTTCATTTCTCTCTTAGGACACTGAGCTGCTGGATTTGCGAGAAACCATAGACTTTCTGAAGAAAAAGAACTCTGAGGCCCAGGCAGTCATCCAGGGAGCCCTTAATGCCTCAGAAACCACACCCAAAGGTAGGACATCCAGCCACAGATTGAGAGGGAACAGCGATGGCAGGAAAGGAAGATTATTACAGAATTTTGTCTGGGCCCATAATATTCCAGATCCTGTATCAGGTCTCTAGAAGGTAAGGGCCTTTAGATACCCTTTAGTGTGATGTCTGGACTGGTCAGTGAGGAGTACCAGGGGCATGACCCCAGCTTCCCAGGGCATGAAGGCAAGTAGAGATCTGTAAGCCCCATGGGCCTTCTCCTTAACCTTTAGGTCAGGGCCAAAGAGCCATCAGAGACAATCCTTAAAATAACCCTTTCCATTTTTATGCATATGTGTTGTGTGTCCACACACACACACACACACACACACACACACACAATCTTATTTGATCCTCACTTCAGTTCTTCAAGGGAGATTCAATCAACTCTTCAGATGAAACAACCGAAGCTCACATAGGTTACATGGTGCTGAAATGGCAAGTTAGCCTGGATGCTTAGTAACCAGTCAAGCTTTGCTACAGAAGTCAAGAGGGATGGTAGCCTGATGCCACAGAAATCTGTGATCTCTAATTCCAGTCAGGCCTTCGGGATACCTTGGCAGTCCTCTGACTTGTCCACAGTCAGTTTTCTTTTTTATTTCACTGTCAGTGATTCCCAGCTTTCATGACTTTTTTCAAGCTCCTCGTTCCACCACTGACTTGCCTCACTCTGAACGTAGCCTTGGCCCCATTCTTAGCTAAGAAAAGGATCATTTTCAAGGGAGACCTCTATTGCCTCTTCCCCACTCCATGCCTCTATATTCATCCAATACTTATTTATTTGTCTCCAGTTTGCTGGAAGGATCTACCCCTTCTGGCCAAGAGTGACCACTTATCTAATGTTTTGGGATACCTTCTTTAGCAACTATACAACCTACCCTCCCCGCACACCCGCCCTTTTCCACCTCTCTGATCTCTTATTCTCTGTTCACTCCTTCTCTGCTTATAAACCTGCCACAGGCTCCCATATTTTAAAGAGGAAAGATGTGTGAATCTATGTTCTAACTATCATCTTATCTCTTTCCTTCCTCTAGTCCATCCTATGTTTCCACCTCCCTTTCACACCTAACCCCACTATAATTACGCTTCTGTCACCATCGTTCTACCAAAAGCACTTTCACTGAAGTCACCAGTGACTCCCATTTTTCCAAAATCCAACTTACAATTTTTAGTTTAGTTTTTGTTTTTTGGTTTTTTGTTGTTGTTTTGAGATAGAGTCTTACTCTGTTGCTTAGGCTGGAGTGCAGTAGTGACACGATTTCGGCTCACTGCAACCTCTGCCTCCAGGTTCAAGTGATTCTCCTGCCTCAGCCTCCCGAGTAACTGGGATTACAGGCATGTGCCATTATGCCCAGCTAATTTTTGTATTTTCAGTAGAGATAAGAGTTTCACCATGTTTGCCAGGCTGGTCTTGAACTCCTGGCCTCAAGAGATACACCTGCCTCAACCTCCCAAAGTTCTGGGATTACAGGTGTGAGCCACCACACCTGGCCTAGTACTTATTTTACCTGACATCTGTAAAATTGAGATAATAACACCTAACCTGATCCCCCAAGACTTCTAAGATTTGGCCCTATTGTCCTTTGATTTTGTTGTTGTTGTCATTTTAGAGACAGGATCTCACTCATTATAACCTCGAACTCCTAGGCTCAAGCAGTCCTTCCACCCGTCTCCTGAGTGGCTAGGACTACAGGCACATGCCACCATGCCCAGCTAATTTTTAAAATTATTTTTAGAGACAAGATGTCGCTGTGTTGCTGAGGTTGGTCTTGAACTCCTGGCCCCAAGCAATGCCCCTGCCTTGGCTTTTCAAAGTGCTAGGCACTTATAGGCATGAGCCTCCAAGCCCAGGATTTGGCTCTATTTAATGTCTCCTTTCTTCATTAACTTTTTCCCCCTCGCTTTTGAGTCATCATTCCTGTCATCGTCTCTTCCTTCTGCTCTGACTCCTTCATGGAACCTCCTTAAGCCCTGGTATTTCCCAAGGCTCCACCCACAGGTTTTGCTTTTATGACTGTACACACTTTCCCACATCTATCCTGTAGTGTTCAGCATTCATATCTATCCTGTACTGTCTGTAATTTTTAAAAATGAGATATAATTCATGTGCCATAAAATTCACCTTTTTAAAGTATATAATTCTGTGGTTTTTAGCCTATTAACAAGCTGTGCAACCATCACCATTACATAATTCCAGAACATTTTCATCACCTCCATAATAAATAAATAATCAGGAAACAGATACTGCCCATTTCCCCTCTTCCCATCCCCCATCCTCCCAATCTCCCCTCCTCCCACCCCCTCCTCCCATTTTCCTCTCCTCCCATCCTCCCTCTCCCTTTCTCCCCCCTTCCATCCCCCTTTTCCCATTCTCCCCTCCTCCCACTCCCCCCTCTCCCACTCCCCACTCCCCACTCCTCCCATTCCCTGGCAATCACTAATCTGTTTTCTGTCTCTATGGATTTGCCCATTCTGGACATTTACTGTAGTCAGACTCATAGAATATGTGGTATTTTCTGATTAGCTTCTTTCACTTAGCAAAATGTTTTCAAGACTCATCCATGTTCTATCATGTAGCCACACATCATTCCTTTTTATGGCTGAATAGTATTCCATGGTGTGGATATACCACAGTTTGTTTAGCCAATTATCAGTTGATAGGTCGGCATAGAGTTGTTTTCGCTTTGTGCCTTTTATGAATGATGCTGCCATGAACATTCATGTACAAGTTTGTGTGTGGACATACATTTTTATTTCTCTAGGGTGTATACCTAAAAGTGGAATTCCTGGGTCATGTGGTGATTCTGTTTGACTTTTTGAGGAATTGGAAAGCTGTTTGTCACAGCAGCTGCACCATTTTACATTCCTATCAGCAGCATATGAGGGTGCCAGTATCTCCACAGTCTTTGTTTTGGTTTGTTTGTCTTGAGACAGAGTCTCGCTCTGTTGCCCAGGCTAGAGTGCAATGGTGCAATCTCGGTTCACTGCAACCTCTGCCTCCCAGGTTCAAGTGATTCTTCTGCCTCAGCTTCCTGAGAAGCTGGGATTACAGGTGCTTGACACCACACCTGGCTAATTTTTTTTTTATTATTATTTTTAATAGAGTCAGGGTTTCACCAAGTTGGCCAGGCTGGCCTCGAACTCCTGACCTCCAGTGATCCGCCCACCTTGGCCTCCCAAAGTGCTGGGATTACAGGCGTGAGCCACCACGCCTGGCCCAATATTTCCACATTCCTGCTAACACTTACGGGCCTCTTTTTTTTTTAATAGCCATCTTAGTGGGTGTGAAGTGGTATCTCATTGTGGTGTTGATTTTCATTTTCTTTATGGTTAAGAATACCAAGCATCTTTTCACGTACTTATTTGCTATTTGTATGTCTTTATGGAGAAATGTCTATTCAAATCCTTGGCCCATTTAAAAAATCATGTTATTTATCTTTTGTTGTTGAGCTTTTAAGAGTTTTTAAATATATTCTGAATATTCGACCCTTATCAGTCATAGGATTTGAAAAATAGTTTCTCTTATTTTATGGGTTGCTGTTTCACTTTGTTGAAAATATCCTTTGAAGAAGAAAAGTTTTCCATTTTGATGAGGTATAATTTATCTATTTTTTTTCCTTTGGCTGCTTGTGCTTTAGGTGCTGTATCTAAGAAATTATTACCTAATCCAGGGTCACGAAGACTTACTCCTAGGATTCCTTCTAAAATTTTTCTTAGTTTTAGGTCTTTGTTCCATTTGCAGCAAATTTTTATATGTGGTATGAGGTAGGCAGTCCAACTTCATTATTTTACATGAGAATATCTAGTTGTTCAGCATCATTTGCTAAAAAGATTATTTTTTCCCCATTGAATTGTCTTGGCTCTCTTTAGAAAATCAATTGACCGGGCCGGGCATGGTGGCTCAAGCCTGTAATCCCAGCACTTTGGGAGGCCGAGGCGGGTGGATCACGAGGTCGAGAGATCGAGACCATCCTGGTCAGCATGGTGAAACCCCGTCTCTACTAAAAATACAAAAAAATTAGCTGGGCATGGTGGCATGTGCCTGTAATCCCAGCTACTCAGGAGGGTGAGGCAGGAGAATTGCCTGAACCCAGGAGGAGGAGGTTGCGGTGAGCCGAGATCGCGCCATTGCACTCCAGCCTGGGTAACAAGAGCGAAACTCCGTCTCAAAAAAAAAAAAAAAAAACAACTCTTCCTAATCTGTATTTCTATCCATGTCAGTCTCCTGAGTTCCAGACCTTTACTGCGAGCCAACTTTTGAATGTTTGTACTTATCCAACTTCTAGATGTTTCCACTGAGTTGACCTCATAGAGATATCTCTAACTTAACATGTCCAAAATTAAAGTCCTCCCCTTCACCCCACTTATAAATACACAAGCCAACCTTTTCCCTTCTACAGTTTATGTGTCTCAGGTATTATCATTTGCCTGGTTGCCCAAGCCACTAATATGAGAATCATCTTTGATTCCTCACTGTTTCACCCTGTATAGTCAGTTAGTTCTAACTCCTACATAGATCTCAATTCTATCCCTCTTCTGTATTGTCACTACCCTGGCTCAGGTTTTTCTCTTTCTTCTGCTGGAATATTGCAATAATTTCCTGACCAGCCTTGCTGCGCTCCAGCTCTTCCAGTTCTTCCCTTGCCCCCCGAGTAATCCAATTATGTCCGTTAAGATCAGAAATTACTCCAGGGCAGGCACAGTGGCCCATACCTACAATCCCAGCACTTTTGGTGGCCAAGACGGAAGGTTCCCTTTAGGCCAGTTCAAGACCAGCCTGGGCAACATAGTAAGACCTCATTCTTAAAAAATTAGCCTGTAGTCCTAGCTACTCCTGAAGCTGAGTCTGGAGGACTGCTTAAGCCCAGGAGGTGGAGGCTGCAGTGAGCCACGGTAACCACTGACTCCAGCCTGGATGACAGAGTGAGACCCTGGGTCCAAAAAAAAAAAAAAAAAAAAAAAATTCCAATTTGAATATAGACTAGATATTACATGGAAAGAATTACTATTGATTTTATTTATTTATTTATTTATTTATTTATTTATTTATTTATTTATTTATTTTTGAGACAGAGTCTCACTCTGATGCCCAGGCTGGAGTGCAGTGGTACAGTCTTGGCTCACTGTAACCTCCACCTCCTGGGTTCATGTGATTCTCCTGCCTCAGCCTGCTGAGTAGCTGGGACTACAGGTGTGTGCCCACCACACCTGGCTAGTTTTTGTATTTTTAGTAGAGATAGGATCTCACCATGTTGGCCAGAGTGGTCTGAACTTCTGGCCTCAGGTGATCTGCCCACCTCAGCCTCCCAAAGTATTGGGATTACAGGCGTGAGCCACCGCACCCGGCCACTGTTCATTTTCTTAGGTGTGATAATAGCACTGTAGGAGAATGTTCTTATTCTTAGAAAGTATACCCATCTCCAAAAAAAAGAAAAAGAAGAAAAGTATATTCTGAAGTCGTTAGTGGCAAAAGATGTGTTCTCTGTAACTTATTTTCAAATTGTTCAAGAAATTCTGTGTATGTGTGTGTGTGTGTAGAGGGAGAGAGAGAAAAAAAATAAAACACAATCTTAACAATTGTTTAATTAGGTGGAGGGTATATTGGTTTTTCTGTATGTAACTGCTCTTCACACACATATTTGCAGAATGAATGAATTGTGCTTTTTGCCATGAGCTTTCATGTTATCCTGTTAATGTTGATCCAGGCTTAACTTGGTCAGAAGGATTTCTAAGACCATTCAGAGAACCAATGCTTAGGCAATGATGCCTATCTTTATTTTATTTTATTTGTAAATAGATAATAAATATACATGGGACAAAATTCAAAATGCATAAGTGGTTTCTTAACTTTTTGAAGATTGCTTGATTCTATAAAGTATGATTTGCTCTTAAAAATACTATATAGGGGTCGGGTGCAGTGGCTCACACCTGTATCCCAGCACTTTGGGAGGCCAAGGCAGGTGGATCACCTGAGGTCAGGAATTCGAGACCAGCCTGGTCAAGATGATGAAACCCCGTCTCTACTAAAAATACAAAAAAATTAGCCAGGTGTGGTGGTGCACGCCTGTAATCCCAGCCACTTGGGAGGCTGAGGCAGAGAATTGCGCGAACCTGGGAAGTGGAGGTTGCACTGAGCTGAGATCGCGCCACTGCACTCCAGCCTGGGTAACAGAGCGAGACTCCCTCGCAAAAAAAAAAAAAAAAAAAAAAAGAAAGAAAAAGGGAAAAAGACATTGAGGGTTATCCCTGATCTGGCCTGAGCCTAATCTCCACCCTCACTTCTCTCTGTACCCCCACAGGTGCCCTGTGCTGCTTCCATTCAAGGCTACCCACAGTTCTCAAAGCAAAGCCAGTTCCCTGGACAGTGCCTTTGCATGTACCCTTTCTTCAGCCCTAAATATGTTTTCCAAAATTCCCGTCTGAAGAATTTCTGTTCTTTCAGTACTCAAACATCCTTTGTTAACTCCTTCCTTCCCTGTTGTAGAAAAGTAGATCATTTTCTGTGTCATCACAAACCTTCTCAGAAAGCGAAGATTTTCTACCCACCAGATGAGAAAACTGAAGCTCTTTCAGGTGGAAAGCAGGGTACATGGCTAGTGATGTACTTGGCTAGTACATGGCTAGTTCTTGGTCTTGGGCCATCAGATAGCTAAGTATTGCTGGAAAAATCATGAAAAAATGGTAGGCTGATATCTCCGTAAGACTGTAGAGGGCTGGCTTTAGTTAACTCCTTTGACTGATTCAAGCTGAGTTCATGACTCCATGCCACCTCTGGTTCTCGAGAAGAGGAATCATTTCTTATTTAATTCTTACCTTTGCGTTTTTTCTATGTTGAAACACGATTGGGACTCAATACAAGTTTGTTGAATGAATCATCCAAAAAAATGAATGATGTGGATGGAGGAGTTGGTTGGTTCTCTCATATCTTCTGCAACTAGACTTGCCTGAAGCCCCACATCCTCTCTAAATCTCTTCTGTTTTTCCCACCTCTTCTTGGCCCTAGAACTTCGGATCAAGAGACAAAACTCCTCAGATAGTATCTCAAGCCTCAACAGCATCACTAGCCATTCCAGCATTGGCAGCAGCAAGGATGCTGATGCAAAAAAGAAGAAAAAAAAGAGTTGGGTAGGTAAAGGTTTGGGGGGTGGGGAACTAGGTAGAAGCGTCGTGGACCGCCTTCACCTCAGCATAGGGATTGAATTCTTCCAGGATTAACCAAGGCATAGTCCCGTCTAACACTGAGCCCTAGTGTGATGTTTGCCCAGAGCATGGCCTCCCAAATTCCCCCTTCCCTCAGTCGTTCCCTACGTGTCCCAAGGCCACCCCGCTGACCTTCATATGCATCTGCTTTCCTTGAGCTCTCCATACTGGTTAGGCCAGATGTATTTGGCAACAGAAGGATGCTGAGGAAATACTCAGAAGGGAACATCTCATCAGTTCTGTGCCCCCACTCCCCCCACTCCCTTCTCTACTATGCAGAGAAGATTTTATGAACAAAGCTGTTCATTCTAGACTCCTGGAGGTCATTTCTCTAATTTTTGGAGATGTTTTATGGAGCTTTCCAGATTATTTCAAAGGACTCTTTATATCACCTTTGGCAGGTCCAGAGGTCATTTTTCTGTGTGTGGTTTTTTTCCCCTTGCGTAATCCTAAACTGACTTTGGATGCCCTTTCTGAAATTCTTCAGGCAGTTCTAGACACTCTCAGCCCCTCTTGCTGATTGTGGTAAGAAAGCATCCCCAAGTGGAGATGTCCTGTTCCTCTGTCCCCTGTTCAGTAAGACTCGCACCCAGACCATTGTATAATGCAGACAGGTACCAGCTGTGTGAAATGAGTGATTAAGTGTTGATTCTTTTTTTTTTTTTTTCCCTTCAAAATGCTGACTCCAAATCCCTATTTTTTTCCAGGTCTATGAGGTAAGAGACCCAGTTCCTATCCCCTTATTTTCTCTTTCCCTTTGCCATACCTTCCCTATTTCCAGAGCAACTCCTTTCCGCTAAAAAAAAAAAAAAAAAAAAAAAAAAAAAAAAATGGCCACTCATAACACTAACTGTAACAACCACCAGAATTCCTAACTCACTCCACTGCATGGTCCATCCACAGCTGCCCCATGTGAGGACAGAGGAGTGGTCTGGTTGGGGGCCAAATGGGAAAGTCAAACAAAATTGAAATCTATTCCCTACTATCTTCCCCTGTTACAAAATTGGCCTGTTATTAAAAGCAGTCAAATTGAACTCCTCCTATCGAGAAAATGAACCGCCTTCTTTTTGGTTCCATAAAACCTAGAGACCCAACATGGAAGAGCGTCACTGGATGAAAGTTATCTTGACCACAGTTTCCCCAGGTCAGTTCAACCTGGGCCTAACCTGAAGCTTTAGCTCTAGAGTAGGATGAACCAGAGATAGGTGAGGGATATAGACCAGGAGGGTACACTCAAGTCACCCCAAAGCCTAAACCCATCTAAGCATCCATGGAGTTCCCAAAGACATTTCAGGGATTAGAGTACAGTCTAAGACAAACAAAGTGCATCCAGAATTTCTGTTACAATCCAGATACCTGGGGTCCACTCTAACCCTACCCCAACATTGTGCTAGGTGTTGTGAAGAATACAAAAAATGGAATGTATAATCTCATCATTAAGGAGGCTCAGTATTACTGGGGAGACCAAAACATATATACATATAAAATTAATAGCAACCGATGGTGCCACAGTGCTTATTCAGGCAGTAAGTGCTAAAGGAGTTCACAGAGGAAGAGACAGTGATTACAAGAGGCAGGGAAGACATCTCAAAGGAGGTAAGAGTTAAACTGAGATGGAATTGTGATAGGTAGAGAGGAATGTGTTGGGATGCCTTCTACATAGACACTGTGCAGAAGAGAAGCAGTGGGAGAGGGAGAAGACCAGCTTAGCTAGAGCACTGACTGACTAGGATATAGCACACATATGAAGAAGCTGATACTTACTTAAGTTTGATTTTTTAGATTAACATTTCCCAAAGTATGTTCCACTGATTGCCAGTCCATTGAGATGCTCCTTAAAAAGTGGTATTGGCCGGGCGCGGTGGCTCAAGCCTGTAATCCCAGCACTTTGGGAGGCCGAGGCAGGTGGATCACGAGGTCAAGAGATCGAGACCATCCTGGTCAACACGGTGAAACCCCGTCTCTACTAAAAATACAAAAAAACGGCCGGGCATGGTGGCTCAAGCTTGTAATCCCAGCACTTTGGGAGGCCGAGGCGGGTGGATCACGAGGTCGAGAGATCGAGACCATCCTGGTCAACATGGTGAAACCCCGTCTCTACTAAAAATACAAAAAATTAGCTGGGCATGGTGGCACGTGCCTGTAATCCCAGCTACTCAGGAGGCTGAGGCAGGAGAATTGCCTGATCCCAGGAGGCGGAGGTTGCGGTGAGCCGAGATTGCGCCATTGCACTCCAGCCTGGGTAACAAGAGTGAAACTCCGTCTCAAAAAAAAAAAAAAAAAAAAATACAAAAAAAATTAGCTGGGCGTGGTGGCGCGTGCCTGTGATCCCAGCTACTCAGGAGGCTGAGGCAGGAGAATTGCCTGAACCCAGGAGGCGGAGGTTGCGGTGAGCCGAGATCGCGCCATTGCACTCCAGCCTGGGTAACAAGAACGAAACTCTGTCTCAAAAAAAAAAAAAAAAAAAAGTGGTATCATTGGCTGGGCATGGTGGCTCACGCCTGTAATCCCAGGACTTTGGGAGGCTGAGATGGGCGGATCACTGAAGCTGGAGCTCGGGAGTACAAGATGGGCCTGGGCAATATAGTGAAACCCCACCTCTGTTAAAAATACAACAATTCACTGAGTGTGTGTGGTGATATTCGCCAGTGGTCCCAGCTACTTGGGGGCTAAGGTGGGAGGATAGCTTGAGCCTGGGAAGTGGAGGTTAAGTGAGCCAAGATCAAATCACTGCACTCTAGCCTGGGTGATAGAGACCCTGTCTCCAAAAAAAGAAAAAAGTGATACAATTGTCAAATAAATTTGAGAAGTACTGCATTTTTTCTTATTTCCTTTTTATTTTATTTTATTTTATTATTATTTTTTTATCCGGGAGGGAGCTCCCACTATGTGGAAATCCCTTTTTTGAGGCAGAGTCTCACTCTGTCACCCAGGCTGGAATGCAGTAACATGATCTCAGCTCACTGCCACCTCTGCCTCCTGGTTGAAGCAATTCTCCTGCATCAGCCTCCTGAGTAGCTGGCATTACAGGCATGTACCACCATGTCCAGCTAATTTGTGTATTTTTAGTAGAGACAGGATTTCACCATGTTGGCCAGCATGGTCTCAAACTCCTGTCCTCAGATGATCCGCCCACCTCAGCCTCCCAAAGTGCTGGGATTACAGGCATGAGCCACCACGCCCAGCCTAAGTACTGCATTTTCTACATCTGCACAGAAAAAAGTTCTGAAATATCCCCCAGCAAATAATCTTGTTTTATTTTGCTTAATCTATTCTAAACTCACTTAATCATGGAACCATTAGCCACATAACATCAAATATCTCCCAACAGTTCTGGCTTTGGGAATACTGAACTACACTCATTCTCAGGATCTCATTGATCTTAGGGGTATATGCTTCAGGCAGCTTGTCATAGGATCTCTCTATGCATGTGTACACACACACACACACACACACACACCCACACCGTCCCGTGAGGCAGTGGCATGGAGAAAACTTCATTGGATTAAAAATTATGAATCCTGAGTTCTAGTCTTAAGTCTTATGTCAATTATGCAATTTCAAGCAAGTCAACTCCCTGGCCTTTTCAGGCTCAGTTCTTCATCTCTACAGAGAGCTGAGATTTATGGTGCTTTTGAGCCCTGACTGCTCAGTGGTAAGAAGTCACCTGAAGCCAGCCAGCTGCACACATACTCACTTGTTCGTATCCCCACCACAGCCAAGCTGGTCCTCCTTTATGTCTTGCCTGGTGGAAACCCCAGGACGCACCACCCACCAGCTCCATCCATCATCTGACAGCCTTCCTGTGTTCCAGGAGAGGCACTTAGAAAGTGTACCGTCAAATTTTTCCTTCTTTTTTCTCACTGTCCCAAAGATCTGGTTTGCCTTTGTCCCCTGTAACCTTCGACCCCTCCTTTACTCTCTGCCTCTTGCTGCCATTTCATATCTGTGTCCGTGTGTGTGTGTGTGTGTGTGTGTGTGTGTGTGTGTACGCGCGGTGTGTGCATGCTGTATGGATGCATGTGGATGGGGACAGGACCCTGATTTGCATCTCTAGCTCACATCCCTAACACCCAAGCTCATCAACACCAAGATCAAATAAGCTATGGTCAGATTATAATGCCCCAAGTACTCTAAAGAAATGCTGGGAAATAGCCCTTCTTCTAGGACATTTGAGATCATAAAAAATGCTTATGTCTGGCTGTTTTAACCATTCTCTAATGTGCTGGGCACAAGAAATACTAAAAGAAGCTTGATCCCACTGCCTTCCCATGTTCTCCACGGAATCATATGGTCAGTTTCTGGTTGATAGTTGACTAGCTGAACAGCTTCCGAGCTGATGAGCCCTAGTCAGAGGCATGGGGTGGTGTCTGAGGCCCACAGTGAGCTAGGTTCTAGACTGAGTGGTTACTGTTCTGCTGCAGAAGGTGAGATTGGATCACTGAGTGGTATACCATGTGACTTCTGGGACCTTCTCTCTCTCCCCATCAGGGACATAATTCCCCCTCTAAGCGAGAGAATACCCAAGAAGTTCCCATAGCCTACAATAGCAGCAAGCTAGAAGATTCTGTTCTTTCTCTCGGACCTAATTTTCCTTCTTTCTTTCTTTTTCTTTCTTTCTTTCTTTTTTTTTTTTTTTTTGAGACAGAGAGTCTCACTCTGTTGCCAGGCTGGAGTGCAGTGGCGAGATCTCAGCTCACTGCAACCTCCGCCTCCACAGTCCTAATTTTTAGGCAACTCTTCTGTCCGTATTCCATGAATCAAGTGAATTAGAGAGGGTGGCTTAATTAAAGTAAATCCCCTGCCTCCACCTCTCTCTGCCTCAGAAGTTCCAGTCCAGTCCTCCCCTATCCCCAGAGAAGAGTCCTGATATCCCTCTACCTGGATCTGCTTTTTTCTAGCTTCGAAGTTCCTTCAACAAAGCCTTCAGTATAAAAAAGGGGCCCAAGTCAGCTTCCTCATACTCCGATATAGAGGAGATTGCTACACCTGACTCCTCAGCCCCCTCATCCCCCAAACTACAGCATGGTTCTACAGAGACTGCTTCACCCTCCATCAAGTCCTCCACCTCGTCCTCTGTGGGCACTGATGTCACTGAGTAAGTGCACTCTGGCTCCCTGCCACCCAGCCTGGTACCAGTGTAAGCTGTGGGCTAGAGTTGACAGGAGGCCATTAGACCTTACACAAGCAGTACTTATTACAGACCTCTCCCTGGGGATATGAGACCAATAGATGGACCTTTCCTCTCATGCTGATTGAATTTCTATGGGCAGGAGGAGCCAAGACCACCAAGCATGCCTCTCAGTATTCTCTAGTAACTCTAGTGCTTCTTCATGTAGCCTGGCTTGACTCTTGCTTTCTTACAGGGGTCCTGCTCACCCAGCCCCCAACGCTAGGCTATTCCATGCAAATGAGGAGGAGGAGCCAGAGAAGAAGGAGGTATCAGAGCTGCGCTCTGAGCTATGGGAGAAGGAGATGAAGCTTACAGACATCCGCCTGGAGGCCCTCAACTCTGCGCACCAGCTGGATCAGCTTCGGGAGACCATGCACAACATGCAGGTCGGTATCTGGGCGGATGGCTGCAGGAAAGGGAAGACCAAGGCTTGCCATCTGTCCCACCTGCCACCCCACCCTGTCCGTTCTTGCCACAGTTGGAAGTGGACCTGCTGAAAGCGGAGAATGACCGGCTGAAGGTAGCTCCAGGCCCCTCCTCAGGCTCCACTCCAGGGCAGGTCTCTGGATCATCTGCATTATCCTCCCCACGCCGCTCCCTGGGCCTGGCACTCACCCATTCCTTCAGCCCCAGTCTTGCAGACACAGGTACCTGTTTGAGAGAAGACGGTAAGGGTGAAGGGAAGAAAAGGGTTTATTTCACTGTTACACGATTCCACCTGCTCTGGTCAGGGAGGTAACAGTGCCCAAACCAAGCAGATGCCAGTGTCCTGAGACACCGAGCATACTGGTCCTTCAACCTTAACTACTTTTGAGTTTGGGACCCCCATTCCTTCTCTGTGGCAAACAGAGTTATTTGGAAAGGGTGACGATGGGAAAGTTGAGGAAAGGCTGCGGGTACTCCTAAAACCAGCTGGTTCTTTCCAATCCCCACAGACCTGTCGCCCATGGATGGCATCAGTACTTGTGGTCCCAAGGAGGAGGTGACCTTTCGGGTGGTGGTGAGGATGCCCCCGCAGCACATCATCAAAGGGGTAAGAAGCTTCAGGGAGAGCCACTGTGGGAATGAACATAATACTGCTAGATTTCTCCAGGAAAATCTGGGCCCTGGGTACCTCCAAACCAAAGAACTCAACTCCCAGGGCCTTCAGGACCGCCTGTTCACTGAGTCGTCTGCAGTGAAGCTCAAGTGTTTTTCCTGCCTTGGCCTTACAGGACTTGAAGCAGCAGGAATTCTTCCTGGGATGTAGCAAGGTCAGTGGAAAAGTTGACTGGAAGATGCTGGATGAAGCTGTTTTCCAAGTGTTCAAGGTAAAGGGATACCTGTACTCAAAAAGGTTGCTCATCCTCTCATGGGATATATATGCTTTTTTAGAGATAGGGTCTCACTCTGTCACCCAGACTGGAGGGCAGTGACGTGATCACAGCTCACTGCAGCCTTGAACTCCTGGGCTGAAGTAGTTCTCCTGAGTCAGCCTCCTGAGTAACTGGGATTACAAGCATGTGCTACCATGCCTGGCTTCTCACAGGATATTAAACCATCCAGGCGCTGGGATCCTGGGGACTTTTGAGGCTTTATGGAGAAATGCTACCTAGGAAAAGCATACGCTCTGCTCTTTCTCCATCTACTTCCGTTTCCTCTGATATTCATTCTTCCTTGTGGTTTTACACCTGTGCTCGTTCTCCCCATCCCTTCTGCCAGGACTATATTTCTAAGATGGACCCAGCCTCTACCCTGGGACTAAGCACGGAGTCCATCCACGGCTACAGCATCAGCCACGTGAAACGAGTGTTGGATGCAGAGCCCCCCGAGATGCCGCCTTGCCGTCGAGGTGTCAATAACGTATCAGTCTCCCTCAAAGGTCAGTCTTTGTCTCTCGGGGTGAGGTGGGGTGGCATGAAGGCAGGGAGAGGATCACCACCAAATAATCCGTCATGCATTCATTCAGCAAGAACTCACTGAGAAGGTATAATATGAAGGTGCTTAAGTAATGTGAGGTATCAAAAGATGAGTAAGACCCAGTCCTAACTTTGGCTCCCAGGGACGCCTTTGCTAAGCCTTGGGTTCTTACTCCATCCCCCAACCCCAGCTAAGAGCATGCCCCTAAAAAGGAGATCTAAGTTTTCAAAACTAGGAGTTACGGGACTCCTATGGAACCATGGGGCAAGTGGCTCTCAGTTTCTTCAGGGAGCTCCTAGATGATGAAAGAAAAGCTCTTCAGGGTCCCTTGCTATCCTCGGGACCCTGGTCGAGACTCGTGCTTTCTGGGGTGGGGTTCAGGTCTGAAGGAGAAATGCGTCGACAGCCTGGTGTTTGAGACGCTGATCCCCAAGCCGATGATGCAGCACTACATAAGCCTCCTGCTCAAGCACCGGCGCCTCGTCCTCTCGGGCCCCAGCGGCACGGGCAAGACCTACCTGACCAATCGCTTGGCCGAGTACCTGGTGGAGCGCTCTGGCCGCGAGGTCACGGAGGGCATCGTCAGCACCTTCAATATGCACCAGCAGTCTCACAAGGTGGCTGCCCCTGCGACCCTTCCGGTCTTTGTTCATGCATCAGCCTTCCCCAGGCCCCTGGCCCTGGCCCCTTCCCGCCTCAGTGTTCCCTTTCCCCCACCCCTGCCTTCATCTTTCCCCTCCTCTTCTGTGTTCATTTCCTTTCCGTCTGTCCCCTTTCCAGGCTTCTCCTTTTCCTCCCCACAATGTCTTTCTAGCCTCTTGCCCTTACCTTGTTTCTCCACACTTTTCCTTGCTTTGTGGGGAAAGGCTTTCCTTTCCACACTTTCCCTTGCTTTGTACGCCTTCCTCTTCAGTTGCTCATGGATGAAACTGCATCCTCATTTCTACCTCACTCTCTGCCAACCCTGTCGCTCCCATCCCTTCTCCTTCATTCTCTTCCTCCGACCTTTCTTTTCAGTATTACTCTCTGACCTTGGGCTCTCTGGGAAGAAGCACTCGGAATTAAATGGTACATATTGTGCCCTCCCCTGCCAAAACCTGATGTCCCTTGAGCACACCCTAATACTATGGAGTTGGTTCAAATCTTTGCTCTTCCCAGCTGGGGTGGGGAGGCATGCGTGTTAATAGTAGTCCACGGTACCAGTGAAAATCCATCTAGGAAATAGCATATGTTCCTCACCTTTGGAGAATTTAGGGGCTGCTGCTTAAGAGGGCTGCTTTAGAGCCTTTGGAACCACTGATTATCACTCTGTGGTATTCTGCTTCTATAATCAAATTTCTAAGTTACTAGGGCCCCAGGGAAATCTAGATCTAGTAAAACTTCTTCAAAATCCTGCTTTCCAGGGCTAATCCAACTGCTTATTCCCAAGTGTGGACCTACAGCCTTCTTTTATTTCAGGATCTGCAACTGTACCTTTCCAACCTGGCCAACCAGATAGACCGGGAAACGGGAATTGGGGATGTGCCCCTGGTGATCCTGTTGGATGACCTGAGTGAAGCAGGTTCCATCAGTGAGTTGGTCAATGGGGCCCTCACCTGCAAGTATCATAAATGGTAAGTAAGCTGGGGTCAAGACAAAACTCAGTGAAGTGGGAGGAGGGAGAACCCAGTCCAGGACAACCCATGAGTTGTGTGCACATGGCAGAAGGCAAGTGTGAAGGCAAGTCTAAGTGAATCCTTTTTCCCTTTCTCCCTGCAGTCCCTATATTATAGGTACCACCAATCAGCCTGTAAAAATGACACCCAACCATGGCTTGCACTTGAGCTTCAGGTAAGAACTGTGGCCCTGGAGGAACTTCTGACCCTACCCCAAGAGTCCTCAGTCCTGGACTCTGGCCAGAGGACAGTAGACAGGAGAAGGAAAGAGAAGTAGCCAGAGCTTTTTGGGCTGGAAAGAGGAAGTAGATATATTTGAAATGTCAGTTACAAGGCACAGGAGGACACTTGAGGAGAGAACAGGACTGCAAAGCCAGGCAGGCTGCTCCAAGCAGAATTAGGATTCTCTGCCCACACACGCTGATCTGGGTCAGTGATGTCAGGAGGTTATCTGAAGAGGGCTACCAATTTGAGAATCAGCCCTACTACCCCGGGGCTGCTGCTCTGAACTCAGATGTCCCCACTATTACTTGAAAAGAAACCAAGTAGGCATTAGTGAGAAGCAGGCAGAAGGAGGGACAGACTGGCCGGGGCTGGACCCTAATAATGTCCCCACTGCCACTCTGACCCCACTTTCCCCATCCTTGGTGGCAGGATGTTGACCTTCTCCAACAACGTGGAGCCAGCCAATGGCTTCCTGGTTCGTTACCTGAGGAGGAAGCTGGTAGAGTCAGACAGCGACATCAATGCCAACAAGGAAGAGCTGCTTCGGGTGCTCGACTGGGTACCCAAGCTGTGGTATCATCTCCACACCTTCCTTGAGAAGCACAGCACCTCAGACTTCCTCATCGGTACTGGGGTCCAGCTTCCCCCCGCGGGTCAGGAGGTGGCTTCCCTTTTCCACTGTACCACCTGGAGTGATGCTCTCTTTCCTTCCTGGAGTCTTGAGCATGTCAAGGAGCTGCAAGCCTTGTGGCTTCCGACTTAGAACCACTTCACAAGCCTTCCCAACACAGTTAGCACCACCGCAATCACCAGAAAGCTAACCCCTCTCCTTGGTTTTTCCCCACAATTAACAGAAAAAAAGGAGGGAACATGTGTAGGAGGGAATTAAACAGCTTTCCTCACTCCCTTATGTCACATTTCACTTCCACCTTGTGAAGCAGGACTCACGAGATTGCCGTCTGGGCAGTCAGCATCCACTAGTCTTGACAACTCTACATTTCCTTTCATCCTTTGGCTGTCAGACCCCTCTGCTTGGTACTAAGGAGTAAAAGAGGCACACAGCCAGGAAGATGTAGGTTCCCAGCCATCTTCATGGCCTCATCCTCTTCCCTAGGCCCTTGCTTCTTTCTGTCCTGTCCCATTGGCATTGAGGACTTCCGGACCTGGTTCATTGACCTGTGGAACAACTCTATCATTCCCTATCTACAGGAAGGAGCCAAGGACGGGATGAAGGTGAGCCCCACGCTCTTCACTCACACCCCACGATCAGGCTGTCCTACCTAACAAAGTAGAAACATTTCTTTAATGTTAGGCATGGGACTACCGGGATTAGTTAGGTTCTCTTTCTAACAGGAGGAGCAAGGCGCTAGATAGACTGGGCTGCTTTCCTGCCTCCAGCCACCGTTCAGCAAATGGCACAGTGACCACTGCCTCTGGGGCCATCTCTCCAGGGCCATATCTAGGTCTTCTGGCTCTAGGCCCAATTTTAACCATTCTCTAGGGGTCAGAGCAAACAGAAAAATAATTGAGCTAAGAATTAAGTAAAACTCTAATTAAAAAAAAAAAAAACTTAGCTACTTACTAACTACTCTTAAGTATGTTAGATTGACCAAGTCACTTGACCTTTTTTAATATCTTCATTTGTGGGGGGAAAAAAAAAAAAAAGGAGATAACACCTTCTGCTCTACTCCAATCACTGGAGTCTTTTGAAGACAAAATGAAATATGTGAAAAGATTTTTAAAAGTTAGAATAAGGCTGGGCTCAGTAGTTCTCGCCTGTAATCCCAGCATTTTGGAAGGCTGAGGCAAGAGGACTACTTTAGTCCAGGAGTTTAGGCAACATGGGAGACCCTGTTTCTATAAAAAATTTTTAGAAACTAGCCAGGCATGCTGGAGTACACCCTGTAGTCCCAGCTACTCTGGAGGGTGAGGCCAGAGGATCACTTGAGCCCAGGATGTAGAGGCTATAGCAGGCGTCCCCAAACTACAGCCCACGGGCTGCATGCGGTCCCCGAGGCCATTTGTCCAGCGCCCCCCCCTCCCGCCGCACTTCAGGAAGGGGCACCTCTTTCATTGGTGGTCAGTGAGAGGAGCACAGTATGTGGTGGCCCTCCAACAGTCTGAGGGACAGTGAACTGGCCCCCTGTGTAAAAAGTTTGGGGACGCCTGGGCTATAGTGAGCCACATTCTCACCACTACACTGCAGCCTGGGCAACAGACTGAGACCGTGTCTCAAAGAATAATAGTAATAGTTAAAACTAAGAATAAAATTTAGTGCAAAAGGAACATGTCATTTTTTTTAAACCACTTCAGTTTTCTTAGCTGTAAATTAGGGTATAATGATCACTAACGTCCATTCCAGCACTAATAAACTGTGATGTAATGGCTAGACCCAGTTGGTCATATGTTATCTGTAAAAGTAATTTGTTATGAAGATAGATATCTTGGCCCGGCGAGGTGCCTCCTGCTGTAATCCCAGCACTATGGGAGGCTGAGTTGGGTGGATCATTTAAGGTCAGGAGTTTGAGACTAGCCTGGCCAACATGGTAAAACCCCGTCTCTACGAAAAGTACAAAAATTAGCCTGAGAGGCTGAGGCAGGAGAATTGCTTGAACCCAGGAGGTGTAGGTTGCAGTGAGCCGAGATCACATCACTGCACTCTAGCCTGGGGGACAGAGTGAGACTATGTCTCAAAAAAGAAAAAAAAATAGATATCTCCTGGTGATATAGTAGAGATGCTATCTGTCAGACTGATGCCAGAAATCATTATTTCATTTATAAATTATGTCATTTTAAGGAAATGTTGCATTATTATTAATAGCTTTTCAATTTAGAACCATTTTCACACAAGTAGCATTTGTTTTCAAGAAAGTAAAAATAAGTTAAATACTATGACTAAAGTGGAAAACTTTCCTACTTGAAAAATGAAATTGCAGGGTCATAAGATCTTAATGCAACTTAGGCATCCACCAGTAGATGAATGAGTAAAGAAAATGTGATATATATACACACAGTAGAAAATTACTCAGTTGTAAAAAAGAAGGAAATTCAAAGCCAGCCATAATAATGCATGCCTGTAGTCCCAGCGGCTACTCTAGAAGCTGAGGCAGGAGGACCCCTTGAGACCAGGAGTTAAAGTCTAGCCTGGGCAACATAGCAAGACCTTGTCTCTTCAAAAAAGGTGGGGTGGTTAGGGGGTGGAGAAGAAATTCTGTCATTTGCAACATTAATAAACTTGGAGGACATTAGGTTAAGTGAAATAAGCCAGGCAGAGAAAGACAAATTCTGTATGATCTCACTTATACATGGAATCTAAAAAAGTCAAACTTAGAGCAGCAGAAAGTGGAATGATGGTTACTAGGAGCTGGGCAGAGGGGTAGATGGATAGGAGTGGTTGAAGAGAAGTTAGTGAAAGGAAACAAAATTTCAGTTAGACCTGAGGAATAAGTTCAAGAGACATATTGTGCAATATGTTGATTATAGTTAATAACAATGTATTATTTACTTGAAGATCACTAAGAGAATAGATTTTAAGTGTTCTCACCACACACAAAAAAATATGTGAGATAAAGCCAGGCACGGTGGCTCATGCCTGTAATCCCAGCACTTTGGGAGGCCAAGGTGGATGGATCATCTGAGATCAGGAGTTCAAGACCAGCCTGACCAACAGAGTGAAACCCCATCTCTACTAAATACAAAAAATTAGCCAGGTGTGGTGGCACACGCCTGTAATCCCAGCTACTTGGGAGGCTGAGGCAGGAGAATTGCTTGAACCTGGGAGGCGGAGTTTGCAGTGAGCCAAGATTGCACTCCAGCCTGGGCAACAAGAGCAAAACTCCCTCTGGGAAAAAAAATATATATATATATGTGAGGTAATACATATGTTAATTAGCTTGATTTAGCCATTCCATGGCAAAGATTTTATAATATCATGTTATATATCATAAATGCATACAATTTTTATTGATCAAAAAATAAATAAATAAGCCAGGCTCATTGGCTCACGCCTGTAATCCCAGCACTCTGGGAGGCTTAGGCGGGCGGATCACAAAGTCAGGGGTTCAAGACCAGCCTGACCAATATGGTGTAACCCAGTCTCTACTTAAAAATACAAAAATTAGCTGGGCGTGATGGTGCACACCTGTAATCCCAACTACTTGGGAGGCTGAGGCAGGAGAATTGCTTGAACCCGAGAGGCAGAGGTTGTGGTGAGCCAAGAGCGTGCCATTGCACTCCAGCCTGGGCGACAGAGCGGGAGTCCGTCTCAAAATAAATAAATAAATAAATAAAATAAGCTGGAAAAATAAAAATTAGATATTTTTTTAAAAGTTTTAATACAGTCTGCTAAATTATCCTCCAAAATTAATTTACAATTTATACCAACTTATTTCCTTGTTTGAAAACTCAGGAAAACTCCATAGAAATCAGAGCCTCGAGGATTTACATTTGAGGAAGTGCACTTTTTTTTTTTTAGGCATCATTTTGCCTTTTCACCCAGGCTGGAGTGCAGTGGCTCACTGCAACCTCTGCCTTCCAGGTTCAAGTGATTCTTCCGCCTCAGCCTCCCAAGTAGCTAGGATTACAGGCATGCAACACCATGCCTGGCTAATTTTTTTTTTTTTTTTTTTTAATTAGAAACAGGGTTTCACCATGTTGGCCAGGCTGGTCTAGAACTTCTGACCTCAAGTGATCTGCCCCCTCAGCCTCCCAAAGTGCTGGGATTACAGGCGTGAGCCACTGTGCCCGGCCAGGAAGTGTGCATTTTTAAGGAGCATATTTTTTGTAGGAACTACCAAGGGACTGCGTGAACAAGCCTCTAATATGTGAATTCCCCACAGTAATCATATTTCACCTTCTTTCCAGGTCCACGGACAGAAAGCCGCTTGGGAGGACCCAGTGGAATGGGTCCGGGACACACTTCCCTGGCCATCAGCCCAACAAGACCAATCAAAGCTGTACCACCTGCCCCCACCCACTGTGGGCCCTCACAGCATTGCCTCACCTCCTGAGGATAGGACAGTTAAAGACAGCACCCCAAGTTCTCTGGACTCAGATCCTCTGGTGAGTAGAAGCCATTCTAGATTAAAAATAAGACTATTACAGAACTGAATTCTTGACCAGCAGGGTGGCTCACACCTGTAATCCCAGCACTTTGGGAGGCCGAGGTGGGAGGATTGTTTTAAGTTCAAAATCAGCCTGGGCAACATGGTGAGACCCTGTCTGTATTTCGAAAAAGAAAAAAATAAGTTTTAAAAAAAAACTGAATTTTTCACACTTTCCATACATACACTGATAGGTGTCTGGAGGGCAAAGAGTGAGTACCAGTGAGGCCAGTGAGGAGCTCTGAATATCAGAATCTGGGGTTATAAAGATCATATGCCTGAGACCTGGCTTAAGCTAAATAATAATGCAACCCAGCAAGATGTATTCTAGCAAAGACCCAAGTCTCAGGTCGATCCCATGGAGGAATAGCAACCAAAGAATTAGAGCAATAGGACACCCAGGCATTCTCTCTACTTCTGTTCTCCTCTGACGCTATCCTGAAGGCTGCTTCAGCTAAATGATTTCATGGAACTCTTGTAGAAAGCAGACTGAGGCATGTACAAACTGGGGGGAATATTTGCAATGCCTGTAGCCAGAAAAAGACTGGTGTCTAGCCCGGGTGCAGTGGCTCACGCTTGTAAACCCAGCACTTTGGGAGGCTGAGGCGGGCGGATCACAAGGTCGAGAGATCGAGACCATCCTGGCCAACATGGTGAAACCCCATTTCTACCAAAAATACAAAAATTAGCCGGGCATAGTGGCGTTTGCCTGTAGTCCCAGCTACTAGGGAGACTGAGGCAAGAGAACAGCTTGAACCCGGGAGGCAGAGATTGCAGTGAGCCGAGATTCGTACCACTGCACTCCAGCCTGGCAACAGAGCAAGATTCCATCTCAAAAAAAAAAAGAAAGAAAAGAAAAAGACTGGTATTTAAAATACATAAAACTTCTAAATAGAAGAATGGATAAAAGATATAAACAGCTGGGCACAATGGCTCACACCTGTAATTCCAGCACTTTGGGAGGCCGAGGCAGGAGGAGGATGGCTTGGGGCCAGGAGGGCGAGACCAGCCTGGGCAACATACTGAGACCCCATATCTAGAAAAACAAAAAAATTAGCTGGGAGTGATGGCACATGCCTACAGTCTCAACTACCCAGGAGGCTCAGTTGGAAGGATTGCTCGAGCCTGAGAAGTTGAGGCTGCAGTGAGCCATGATCGCACCACTGCACTCCAACCTTGGTGACAGAGCAAGACCCCATCTCTTAAAAAAAAGACATGAGTAGGCATTTGACTAGAGTAAACACAAACGGCCAATAAAAACGTGAACGGATCCTCTTCCTCTCCAATAATCGAGGAAATGCAAATTAAAGCAGATACCACTTCACACTGGCAAAAGTCGTATGTATGGAGGCATAGACTTTTACACTCTGCCGGTGGGAGTAGTTGCTGATAAAACTATTTTGGAGGGTAGTTTGGCAGATTATATTCAAACTTAACAGGCACAAATCCTATGACCTTACAATTTTATCTTTTTTATAGGAAATTAATAATCATAATACATTTTTATTTAAATTTTGATTTGTTAAAAACAGATGCTATGTGTGTAAAAATGCTTTTAAATTGGAAGATTATAAATAATCATGTAGACAGACGAGAAGGTGGAAGGCACATTAACAGAAAACGCACCAGGCTTACCTAGCTGAAATGGAAGGATCCAATCTTGAAGTGTCCAGGGGAAAAAAGTAGGTAAAGAGAAGGAAGTGAATACACTGAGGGGTTTAGACTTGACATGAGGCAACACGGTTGGTAAGCTGGAGAGAAATAGGTTTATAATAATACAGTGTCTAGCCGTTGGGTTGTAATCTATTGGAAGGGGAAATTATTAGAGACAGAGATGTTTTTCTAGCATTTCTCACATTCCTCCCGGTATTAGTTGGTATGTTCAGGCCTTCTCTCCTCTTCTGGAGTGCAAGCACCCTGCAGGCAGAAGTGGTCTCATTCTTTTTTGGTTTTCCTCCATACATCACAGCATGGTACCTTGCCCCTTGTATAGCAGACATACTCCCAAGTAATTTTTATACATACGCATGTAGAACAATTACCACTGAAGCTGTCATCACTGCCTTTCACAAACCACTCTAAACTCTGAGCGCCTCCTCCTGAGAAACCAAGGATCAGATCCATGATCTAGATTTTTTTTTTCTTTTCTTTTTTTTTTCTTTTTGAGACAAAGTCTTGCTCTGTCGTCCAGGCTGGAATGCAGTGATGTTATCAAAGCTCGCTGTCGCCTTAAACTCCTAGGCTCAGAGGCTCGAGTCATCCTCCACATGGGTTTCAGCATCCTGAGTAGCTGGGACTATAGTTATGTGCCACCACACCTGGCAGATTTTGTATTATTATTATCTTTTGTGGAGACAGGGTCGGTCTCTGTTTTCAAGGCTGATCTCAAACTCCTTGCTTCAAGCTGTCCTCCCACCTTGGCCTCCCAAAGTGTTGGAATTTTTTGTTCTTGTCATTTCCCTTCTGTGGGCAGGACCCAGAGTCCCAACGCTCATAAATCCATCTTTCTGCTCCTCTTTAGATGGCCATGCTGCTAAAACTTCAAGAAGCTGCCAACTACATTGAGTCTCCAGATCGAGAAACCATCCTGGACCCCAACCTCCAGGCAACACTCTAAGGGTTCGGCAGTCACTGTCACCCCGGGACAGCAGAACGCTGGCATCAGCTATCTTAGCTCTGCCTCTCCCCTTTCTTCTTTCACAGCACTGGCTCTCCAGCCCCAGGAGAACAGGAGGGAGGAGGAGATGAAAGAGGAGGGACAGGTTCTTGGTGCTGTACCTTTGAGAACTTCCTAGTAAGGACTGGTGGGGGGGGCGTTTGGGAACTTGTGCCCCCTAAACGTATTTACTGGCCTCCTCTAATGACTTTGGGGAAAAGATGATTCTGGGTCTTTCCCTTGACTTCTTGTTTCAATTACAAACTCCTGGGCTTTCTGGGGAGGGGTTCCGAAAACATCGAAACCCTGCAGCAGTTCCTAACTGATTCTCACAAGCAACCCTGAGAGAGACAGTCATGTGAGGGGGATCTGGGAGAGGCAGGAAGCTCCCCAGATTTTCTCACAGACCCTTCCCAATTCCATCACCACTGCCAACAACTCCTCCCCTAGAGATCTGGCTGGAGCCCAGAAAAAGAAGCATGTGGTTTAAAAAATGTTTAAATCAGTCTGTAAACGGTAAAAACAAAAAACAAAAAGAAGCAAACAAAAAACAATGGAAAAGATGAAGCTGGAGAGAGGGGAACCAGTTGCCAAGGCAGAAAGAGAGCTGCCCGCTCCTGCCCTCTGGATGACGTAGGGGACATCGGCAAGACAGCTGCCAACCTGAGAGGTCACCACACCACAAAAGTAACATTACAGCCTTCAGAGAGAGACTACTAGCTATGTCTTTCTACCCTCTAATTTAACATGCATGAGAGTCAATAAACCCTACTTTTTTATTTTTGTTTTTTAACTTTGTTTTCACTTTTTTCTCCTGTTTGCCTATTTATTTTTTTTCTTTTTCCTTTTTTTTTTTTTTTTTTGGTTTAAATTTTTCCATTTCCTCACATGTTCATGAGATGCTTGGGTTGCTTTTCCAGGGGCTAGTTTGGCTTTTCGAAGGGGGTTTTCTTTGGAGGATCTGATGCCATGCAATTGGCATGACACCTGCCATGCCACTATCTTTGGCATCCATGGGGCTTATATGAGACGTGAAGCATTGGCTCAGAAGTAGAGGGAGCAGAGGAACCCAGTTCCCTTGACTTCCTTTTGAGAAAGCACACGTTCTTCTGGGTAGCTCAATTGCCAGCCTCTGTCATGAGAGAGTATAGCCCCATCTTGATAGAAGAGTTACTCTGAAAAAAAAAGAAAAGAAAAGAAAAGAAAAGTTACTCTGAGCTTTATCATGGACCAGAGGAAAGCCAAGAAATTGAAAACATTCCTCTGCCTTGGGGCCAGTTTGGCCCTTCACTGCACTATTTTGATGGTGCCTGACTGAATCAAAATAGCCTAGCTGGCTCTTACTAGTTTTAACAAGTGAATATTCACGTCTAAGAGACTGAACATCCATGTGAGATCATCCCAATCAGAATATAAGACTCAAGGAGTTTGACTTGGTGGCCAATATCTGCCTTCCAAAGAGATCCTCCCTTTGCAGATTGCTCCTTTCCCTTTGCCCCGAAGGTCTGGCAGTCCCTGTTCTTTCATTTGACAAGTGTTTACCGAGTACTCACTATGTACAACTCATTAGGTTAAAAAAACAAAAACACACACACAAGACTTGGGCCCTTAAGTTTACAGTCTAGTAGGAAACATTAACCTCTATTAAGCGTACATCCCCTTGTTATCTAGACCTTAGGAGCATCTAAGAAATGTAGCTGAAACCCAAGGAGCCAGCTAGAAAGAAGCTTTTGATTATACAATCACTGGGGACAGAAGATCTGGGATCGATTAAGATGGAGCCTGAAGGACTATGGAATCTTACTTGTCTGGAGTGAGCAAGTCTGCTTCCTGCCATTTCTGAAAGCCCTGTGGGACCAGTTTGCAGGCTGAGCTGCCTGGTAGGCTGAAGCTTCAGGGCTCTGCAGGTCAGGGATATATGATGAGCACAGGCCTACGTGTTTGTTCTTCAGATTCCTAAGTAGCACAAGACTCTCAGAATCTATAGGCATACCAACCTGGATCACTGTTCCACCCAACCAAGGAGTAGATGCACCTGAATCTTCTTATCAGTATATTTTCATTTAGGTCCACGAGGTGGTCCAGGCTGCCCCTCACAAAAACTTCTGCATTCACCTGATAAGCTCCCAGGGACGACAGGGTTCTGTATGATGGAGACTATTATTGCTATTGCTGCTAATTCCGTGAGCTGTGAAGATCCCCAACCAACTCAGCTGTAATATATGCAATTCTGTGGTGGGAAGAGGCTGTGTGTCCAAGGATGGTGCTGAAATCACTGCCTTAAGGTCTCTGCTGTGCAGAATGAGGAGGCCACTGAGCTGGCTGTTCTAACTTAGAAGGAAGAGAAGACTGGATGGATGGGCCTGCTTGGGACCCAGGCCTCTTCTAAACCCTGTCCTAAGCTCCAGTTCCATGGCAGGGCTCAGACTTTTAATGCCATCTTAATTTGATGGTTGAGCGCTTCACTCTATTTTCTGGTGCTGCCCAGCCAGTGCCTTCCGCCATGGATGTTACTGGCTACTTGAGAAAAAGGAGAGGGGAGGAGCCCTTCTTTCATTCCAACTGCCTCTGACCCCAAAGGGATTCTTGGCTCTCTGGTAACCATGGATACCACCATGAATTTTATTTGGATCCTCAGCAGGTTGATTCTGGAGGCCTCATGCTATGACTTTTTCTTTCTCTTCCTGGGCTCCACCACCCTCTGCTCTCGGCTGACTGCTGCATTTAGCCCGGGTCTCCGATTGCTTTCCTCCAGAAACTGTGTTCTCCTCTGGTGAGATGGTATTGAAGCCTCAGCTTTCCCTCAGGAGTCTGGGACCCTGTTTACAGTTGCGCATCTGGGCTCTTCACTGTGGGGCTCGATCATTCTCATGAAGGAATCACATTTTTGTGGCAACTGCAGAAGGCTGAGCCTCCTCACGGTGCTATAACCCCTTGGGACGCTCATCCAGACTTCTCCGAAGCAGAAAACCTGAGCTCCCCACTCACTGCCCTAGAATTTATGGCAAGGAGCAAATCCACAGCATTCTCTCCCACCTACGTCCTGCTTCTTGGTTGAGACTACCGGGATCCTTCAGAAAAGAAACACTGGATCCCATAGCTAAATTCTCAACCCTCAGGCACCTTCAGAAGAATCCAGCCTAATCCTGGAAGTTGTGCTATTCTCTTCCTCTCCAGCGTACCCCCCCGCCCCCCCCCCCCCCCACCAACTCCATCCCTCACCACAGTTGGCTAGGAAATGACATGAGTTCAATATCTAATGTCAGCCAATGGGGAGAGCCAAAACTCCAGGAGAGGCTCCTCAGATGAGTCCCTTCATTTCTGGATGAAGATGACCAACAAGTTTTGTCCAATGTATTTGTATCTGAGACCCTGCCTAGGCACTAAAAATAAAATACTAGGTCATTGGAGGCTAATGCGGGACCCGATGTCTGTGTGTGTGTGTGTGTGTGTGTGTGTGTGTGTGTGTGTGTGTGTCTGTCTCCCTCTCACACACACACGAGCGGTTTGCTGTTGCTGTTTTCCTACCTTCTGAGGCTTCATAGAGTATTTTTTAAAAATCTATGCTTTGTGGCAGCTCTAAGGTGCTTATCTCTGTCTTTGTGTAAATCCTTAAGTACCCATTTTTTTTTTCATGTCTAACCATTGGGAAGGTAGAGGCTGGCCGGGAAGAAGAATCTGCTACAAGTCCATGGGAAGACCCTACAAGGAAACCCTTATTGGTTGGTATACTGTTTTGATCTTGAATTGCCAACCTTCCAACTGATCTATCCATACTCCTTAAGTACTAAAGACAAAATAGCAGGCGATTTTTTCCTCTTAATTTCTTGCCTTCTGGTTTTCTTGCAAGACTAGGACTGTAACTGGACCTAATCTCACCATCTCTTCACTTCTAGCTCCCTGAAACAAGGGTCACACTACTCAAAGGGATATCCCCTTACAGTGGTCTTAGAAATAACTCTGATTTCCTAAAGTATTCTAAAGAAGTAAGAGGAGAGAAATGGCAGCCTGCCGTTTCTCACAGACACCTCACATCCTCACTTGGGGTGGTATCCACATAGAAACCCTGCATTTAGGTAAAATTTGCCTGACCGAAGGGGACTCGGTCCTCCAAATTAGGATCAAAGAGATATCTACATGAAACCTTAAGAATACTTTATTGCAGTGTATTGGGGGGAGGGGGATTGGCCTAATCACACACTGAACACAGGGAGTAAGTGCTGAGGTGACCCAGATCACCAAACGCAGTTCCTCCTCGTACTTGGTTTTTGCTTTCTTTATTCCTTGACACTGGCTAAGCTAAAGTTAAGAAGCAGATTTCATAAGCCAAGCCCAGTGATGGGATGGGAAAATGGGCTTTTGCAGAGGGTTTATTCATAAAGATGGATATACTGCTCACAAGGTCTGGCTTATGGCTCCACTGATTAGTCCATAGTAATAAAATGGTCTTTACCAACACTGTTCCCCAAAGGCCAAAGTCCGATGATACTGCCCCTTACAATCCAGTCAGCCTTATGTTTTAATGAGTCCTGAATCAACCTGACTCTGGATATATGGGGCCACCAGCTTGACACTCCCCACTGCCCAGGGTGCATGCCTGCTCAGCCTAGCTCTGGAAGCCAGCACTGCTGGCCACAGATGCTGGCAAAGGTGGTAGTGAATTGGGAGATGTAGCCTTGAAGGGAGGACAGCTATCAAAATGCCAAAGCTGCGGGGACAGGAAGACAGTTGAAAGTTAAACAGATGTATTCTACATCCTTCCAGATTGATGGTTTGAAATTAAACCTACGTAGACTAGATCCCTCCGGTATGCTGGATCTTCTTAACGATTACACGGTGGAGAATTTTCTGTGACAAGGGTGGTCATGGAAGTGCGTGAGTGACCCCAGGTTTCTCATTCCTTAAAGCAGTGGTTCTCAAAGTATGGCACGAGACCAGCAGCATTTGGGAACTTGTTAGAAACAAAATTCCGAATCCCATGTCAGAGCTGCTGAATCAGAAACTCTATAGTGAGCGGAATTAGCAACCCATCAACTCCTGGTGATACAATGCACACAAAATTCAGCTGTTTCAAAGGGAAAGCCCTTTAGAGTATTGGAGTTCCCACACTGAGAAGCTTTAGGGCCCCAAATAAGAAGGTTCTAGATTATGATTCAGACTTTAACGTTAACTTCAAGGTCGCCTTTCTCATGCTTTCTTGTGTTTCTGTTCTTCCATTTATTTTAACAAAGAAAGTTATGTGTGCTTTTGTGTGGAAGTCAGGAAAATGTTTACACCTTTCCTAGTTGAAAACCTTCAGAGAAAAATCTTAACGCCTCGGAAATTTCTACCTGGCACACTAAGGGGCTTCAACAAGGAAAGCAGTTGGAGGTCTCTTCCAGATTGCTCTTCTGCCAAATTATTTGTATCTATTCTGAGCTGATTATGTAATAGAATTGAAAGGTTAAAAAAAAAAGAAAAAAAAATTCTAATTTGTATTTCCATGACAACATGTTCTCCCAGCAACATCCTGCTCCTTTATTTGAGTTTTAAAGGGCATTGCTGGGCCTGAGAACCGGGCCAGAACTGTACGGCAGCTAACAACGTAGGGCTCCAGTATCCCGGGAAGGCCCCTTATCCACACTCAGCTCAGCTATTAGGAGTCCTGCATAATGAAGACGCAGCCCTGGGCACTTCATCGTTGTGCTCCTCCTCTCTCCCCACACCAGGACCTGGATATGGAAGTATTCAGCCAAGGCAATAGAATAAACTCTTTTTTTTCTTGTTTTGTTTGTTTGTTTGTTTTTGTTTTTGTTTTTGTTTTTTGGAGAAGGAATCTCGCTTTTTCACCCAGGCTGGAGTGCAGTGGTGCAGTCTCAGCTCACTGCAACCTCCGCCTCCCGGGTTGAAGCAATTGTCCTGCCTCAGGCTCCCGAGTAGCTGGGATTACGAGTACCTGCTACCACACCCAGCTAATTTTTGTATTTTTAGTAGAGACAGGGTTTTGTCATGTTGGCCAGGCTGGTCTTGAACTCCTGACCTCAGGTGATCCGCCTGCCTCAGCCTCCCTAAGTGCTGGGATTACAGGCATAAGCCACTGCGCCTGGCCAAATAAGTTCCTTTTTAAAAAAAAAAAACCTGAAAAAAATCTTCCTATCTTTGCACACTCACAAAATAGCTGATGGGGCCATGGGGGAGATGAGGCTGTTTCGAACTAGTTTTGTTTATTTATTTATTTATTTATTTTTTTTTTTTTTGAGACAGAGTTTCGCTCTCGTTACCCAGGCTGGAGTGCAATGGCGCGATCTTGGCTCACCGCAACCTCCGCCTCCTGGGTTCAGGCAATTCTCCTGTCTCAGCCTCCTGAGTAGCTGGGATTACAGGCACGCGCCACCATGCCCAGCTCATTTTTTGTATTTTTAGTAGAGACGGGGTTTCACCATGTTGACCAGGATGGTCTCGATCTCTTGACCTCGTGATCCGCCCGCCTCAGCCTCCCAAAGTGCTGGGATTACAGGCTTGAGCCACCGCGCCCGGCACTAGTTTTGTTTCGTGTGTGTCAGTTTTCCCTGGGGTAGAGCACAAAGCAAAATACATTGCTAGTAATAGGTCTCCTACGCTCTGGAACTAAGTGTTCAGAGGAAGGACTAAAGCCTGGGGGAGGTGAGTATAAAATAATTCCATTAAAATCACCTCCGCGGTCCCCAGAAGGCTGACGGTGGGTCCTCTGGCCATCTCCGGTGGGGTCTTCCCGCTTCCCGGCCATTTCTCTATGTCTGAAGACGCGAAGATGATACCAAGGCGGGGCTCGCATATCGCAGCCAGTCTCTGGGCTCCTGCTGTGCAGTGACTCCCACTGTCTCAGGCTGTTTTGTTTTTGATTTTTCTAACAAAACAATCTTTTTTTAAAACGAGTGCCAAGCCCTGCTAGCCTCCTTCCCCGCCTCCATACTGTTCGAGGCAGCACCGTGTACGCGGCAGTCCATGCTCCCACGTGCATGGTGTCCTCAGGTGGAGAGTGGGCAGACGTTTTCGCAATGCTTTTTTTCAAGTTGCTGGGTGCAAAACCCCCAAAGCAGGATATGTGTATGTTTATGTGTTTATGGTTTTTCTCATTTGACCCTCTCCTCTTTCAACCTGCCCCCTTTTATAGCTAATGTAGAGAAAGCAAAACTGAATCTGGAAAGCAAACTGTTGTATATAGTTGCGGTAACAATCATGAAGAGAGAGCTGGGCTGTCCCCTCAGTAATTCATTTTAAATAACAAATTACCTAAAAATTAAATTCATGCCAGGGCCAGCTGAAAAGGCCTGCCTTCATCACCACTGAGGCCACCCCCATCCGGGCCCTCTGTCCATCTGGCATGTCTTCTCTCAGCAAGATTCATCTGTTCAATGCCATTTGCGTTTCAATAAAGTTATCTCCTGTATTGTCCACTGGCGCTCTAGCTCCCTCTCTGCCTGTTTTCTGTCTCCATTTATCCTGTGGCCCATTCCTTGATCAGCAAGGTCAGACTGCTTGCGGTCATTTGCCTAACCCAGAAGTATGACCCCCTTGCCTGGAAATGTCTGATCCCGAAATCCTAAGCTAGAGTCTCCTGACTCCTCTGGTTGGGGGTGGCGGGAACCCCTGCTCGCACACTGTGGACATAGTATCCTTCACCAGGACTCAAAGCATCCAGCCCAAACATCAAGGCTCTGGAATCTTCCATCCGGGTTGCCACAGTGTTTGAAAACATACTACCCTCTGGACTTTCCTCCATTTTCTTCTTGGGGTAAAAGTGAACTGACCTATTAGAAAGAAGCTGTTTAATCAAGTTCAGCTTCTCTTGGCTACTTCAAGAAGGAAAATATGTCTTATCATTTCCCATTGTGGAATTAAAGGGTCCAAGAAGCAATCTTTTTCCTGTGAAATTGTAGTAACATGACTTATCTCTACCCTTTTAACATGGGAGGTGACAAGCGTGTTGAGAACTCTCTTCAAGCCAGTTGCAGCGGGTGCACTTGTAGTTCTAGCTACCCTGGAGGCTGAGGCGGGAGGATCACCTGTCCAACCTGGGCAACACAGTAAGACCCCCCAACTCAACAGTAAATAAATAAAGGCTTCCTTTGAAATAATCTTCTGATGAGATGACTTAATCCCTGATGTTATCAGTCTAGCATCCACAGTCTTGGAAGTGACCTAGGAACTAGTAGCTGGTTTCCTTTGCCACGTGAGAATGAACTCATTTGGTAAGAGTTCCTGGAAACCATTTTGAAGGCACATAACCTGAACAGCTCACTAAAAACGACCTGTTCCTGTTTGCTCTAGAATCTCCCATTCCAACAACATTCCATCCCTTCTGCCACTACATGCTTGATACTCTGTCCTGCATTTTTTAGATTTTATTTTATTTTATTTTATTTTATTTTATTTTTTTTTTTGAGACGGAGTTTCGCTCTTGTTACCCAGGCTGGAGTGCAATGGCGCGATCTCGGCTCACCGCAACCTCCGCCTCCTGGGCTCAGGCAATTCTCCTGCCTCAGCCTCCTAAGTAGCTGGGATTACAGGCACGCGCCACCACGCCCAGCTAGTTTTTTGTATTTTTAGTAGAGACGGGGTTTCACCATGTTGACCAGGATGGTCTCGATCTCTCGACCTCGTGATCCACCCACCTCGGCCTCCCAAAGTGCTGGGATTACAGGCTTGAGCCACCGCGCCCGGCCCAGATTTTATTTTTTTATAGACAGAGTCTCTATATGTCGCCCAAATTGGAATGCAGTAGCCATTCACGGGCGTGATGACAGTCACTACAGCCTGAAACTCCTGGGCTCAAGTGATTCTTCTGCCTTTTTTTTTTTTTTTTTTTTTTTTTTTTGAGAGATGTTGTCTCACTCTGTTGCCCAGGCTGGAGTGCAGTGGTGTGATCTCAGCTCACTGCAACCTCTGCCTCCTGGGTTCAAGCAATTCTGCCTCAGCGTCCTGAGTAGCTAGGATTACAGGTGTGCCCCACCATGCCTGGTTAGTATTTTGTATTTTTAGTAGAGATGGGATTTCACCATGTTGGTCACGCTGGTCTCAAACTCCTGACCTCATGATCCACCCACCCTGGCCTCTCAAAGTGCTGGGATTACAGGCGTAAGCCACTGCACCTGCCACCCCCTCCCCGACCTTTTTTTTTCTTTGAGACAAGATCTCACTGTGTCATCCAGGCTGGAGTGCAGTGGTGCAATCACAGCTCACCGCAGCCTCGTCCTCCTGGGCTCAATTCCCACCTCCACCTCCTGAGTAGCCGGGACTACAGGCGCAGGCCACCATGCCTGAGCAATTTTTGTATTTTTTTTTTTTTGTAGACATAAAGTCTCGCCATGTTGCCCAGGCTGTTCTCAAACTCCTGGGCTCAAGTGATCCTCCTGCCTCAGCCTCCCATCGTGCTAGGACTAGAGGCGTGAGCCACTGTGCCTGGCCACACCCTGCATTTTCTACATCTCACTGGAGTGCTCATCCTCTACACCTGTTCCACTATTTAGGCGTGGCTCTGCACCGTGGCCCATTTCCTACAACCCGCCACTGACAACCACATCATCAGACTGCTCTTGTTCCCACACCCCTTAAATGTCCAGCCCTAATTTCTCAGGGAAAAACATTTGTACATTTTCAACAAATAGGATACACTCTCAAATAGTCACATACAGCACCCACTCTGGAGGAAACACTCTTCCACATGCAGGTGCTCTCCCTTGCCCACCCACTTCCCAGTTTCGAGGTTGGGCTCATCTAGGCTGGGAAACCAAGGGACCAGCAACAGAGGGAGACGTCTCAAAAAAACAAAAACAAACAAACAAACAAAAACAAAAACAAACAAAAAAAAACTTCCCACTTTGCTTTCGTTTCTTCTCCCCCTCTTTAGATTCCTGAGGCTAAGATGAAGAGAGTCACTTTAGCCAACTCTTTTTCAGTGTTTGGGGGGAAAAGAGTGTGGTAGCTATTTGTGACCCAGACCTCTCTCCTTAAAGCCCACTACATCCATTCCCATCCGGCCTCCTCTCTCCTAACACCTGAAGTATGCATAAATATAAAGTCATATATCATGACCTTTATTCCAAATGAGATTGCTAACTTACTGTGCAACTTTGGGAAAGCCCCTCAACCTCTCTGGGGCTCAGTTTTCGCATAAATCCAATGATCCTTGCAGAGAAAGGTGCAGTTCTTGTTCACGCAACAGGAGGCGCTGTCTCTGGAGGCTTAGACTCATTCCCCGCCCTCCGCCCGCTCCCGCCCGCCTCTGCTGCGCAGGCGCGGCTTCGCGGATTGGCCGCGCGCGGGGACCGTCATTCCGTGGCGGGGCCCGGCCGCGGGGCTGGCGGGCTGAGGGGAGGAAAGATGGCGGCGGCGGCGGCAGCTGGTGCGGCCTCGGGGCTGCCGGGTCCAGTGGCACAAGGATTGAAGGAGGCCTTGGTGGATACGCTCACTGGGATCCTATCCCCAGTACAGGAGGTGCGAGCGGCTGCTGAAGAACAGATTAAGGTGCTGGAGGTGACGGAGGGTGAGTGAGGCGGGACCGTCACGAGGATGGCTCAGCCGCACAATCCGCTGACCGCAGCTCCGGACCGGCAGGGGACATGGGGAGCCTGAGTCAGCTGGAGATCCGGACGCCGGGAAGTGGAGTAGGAAGCGAGAGGTTGATGTCGCTGGTGACTGTGAAAGTCCCAGGGAGGAGAGGCGCGCCTGAAGGATGGGGTCGGGGGAGGTGGAGCCTGGGGGTTGGCGGGGGAGGGTGGAGACTCGAAAAGATAGATGGAGCGTAGAATCTGCTGGGGACGGAGATGGAGCTAGACTTGGTGCTGTTGGAGGAAGCAGCGCCGTCTGGGAAATATTTTTTCAGTCCCAAACCAAGGTCTTTTGCTGTTCTGTTCATCAGCTCGATTGTACTGGGGTAAGAGTAGGGGGAGCTATTAGAAGTGGTGAAGGATACGGCCTTGAGAAGGCGGCAGTCAGAGCGAATAGATGTCATCAAACAAGTTTCTGCCTGTGAGTTCCAAACCTAGCTGGTTGTTTGTACTCTTCATGTTTTCCAAGAAATTAAATGCATGTGCAACTGCTTCACCGTCCTGACCATACTTCCGTTTATTTTAAAAATAATTTGCCCTTGTTAAATACCTTTGTGCATTTCTGTTTGGAGGACCCGATCATCCTTTGTTTTTGATTCTTTGTCTCCATCCTCTATTGTGTGCTTTAAAGTGATGGAGTAGAAAATAAACTATGGGTTCGAGATTTTCTATCAATTTCCTGCTGAGTGAGCCTTTCACCAGGTTCAGTGTAGCTACTACAAAGAACAATTTAATACAGAAACAAGAGGAGGAAAAATCTTCTTGGTCTTTGTATAAGAACTCTGTCTGGTCAGAGCTTCACTGGAACTCCAAATCCTCAGCCTCTACCAACTCAGGAATATTTCCATCACCACTTAAATTCCTCATCAGAGGTATGGGAAACTGTCCCATCACACATACCCATCACATTCAGAACCTTGAGTTAACTCTCCTACTGGACGTATTTTTATTGAAAAGAATTTAGAACAAATGTCTCTTAAATTTTGTTTATATTCTCTCACAGTGTGAAAGAGTTGTTGAAAACAAATTTTCTTCTATTGGAAATATGTTGAGATTTGGGATTTAACAGGCTAAGGACCATTTTGAAGACCCAGTTGTAATTGTCATTGTTTTATAAAATACCAGATCCTACAAGAGGAGAAACCACTGGTCAGGAGAAAGCTTTTTGAGAACCATAGAGTTTTTATCGGCTTCTAAGTAAAATTCCTTTATGCACATTCATGTCTATCTTACTTGAGTATGAGGAAGGAAGAGTGACAAAGCAGAGGAACCTCATCACATTCGAGTTGCCACCTGAATAAAGCTGAGAGTCTGGTTCAAATTCATGCTAACTAAACCTTCCCTGAGTGGTACCCAGTGTTCCTGGTGCCCCAAAGGCATGTGTGGCACCTTTGTATGAAAGGTGGACCTTGACTCATGTTTAAACTGTCTTACAACGTCTCCAGTTTTGCTCTGATCTTTTCAACTTCAGCCAAATGCGATGGTCTCACCTAGGCAAAGTCAATTATAAAGTTCTTGAGGTCTTTTCTGAAGCTGTAATTCCTCAGTTTATTCATCTTTTTTTTTTTTTTTTCTTGAGACTGGGTCTCCCTCTATCATATAGGCTTTGGTGCAGTGGTACCATCATGGCTCACTGCAGCCTCAAACTTCTGGACTCAAGCGATCCTCCCATCTAGGCCTCCCAAAGTGCTGGGATTACAGGCATGATCCACTGCACCTGGCATCTTTTTGGGTCTTTAAGTGAAAATTTAAATTGCAAAAGGACAGAATTTTTATCTAGGCCACTGATGAGAAATACATTGACCCTCCCTTTCCCCCATAACTTACTGGTAGTGTGCTGTTGGGCACACTGTGAGAATGGGAAGTATGGAAAGGCATTGATGCAGTGACCTGACATTGGTCTAGTTAATGGAGCATATGACTCAAGTTTTGGATGTGGTTAGAGGGTTGGATCAGTCTCTGGAGTTCAGTCCAGTGCTTCGGACCCTTTTGAGGCTGTTTGTGCCTTTTAAGTAGTCTTGCTCCTTATGTTTATCCGAAAAAGTATAGAGATTTACCACCTTCTGTGCCTCTTTTTTTTGATGGAGAATGGTAATCCATTCCTCAGATGCAGTCTGCTTTCTTCCTCTTGTGGCCTTTAACAAGTTATCTTTGTAATTGGGTTCAGAGAATCTCTCAGATGTTTTGTGAACATAGTGTAATATAGTGGCTTCTTCTCCACCAGCCTCAACTCTTCTTTACATGAAAACATAGCACCTTGCTTTCCAGCCAGGAATTAGCCAACTATCTGGCCTGATGAAACTGGCAGGACATTGCTGCTCCTGTTAGAATGCCCTACAGAGCAAGATGAGCCATTCTTGCAGACAAATGGACAAATTATTTTCCACTCCTTTGGTGTTGCTTCATATTTTAGGTTTGGGTTTGCTTTGTTTTTTGAGACAGAGTCTCACTCTGTCGCCCAGGCTGGAGTGCAGTGGCACAATCTTGGCTCACTGCAGCTCTGCCTCCCAGCTTCAAGCAGTTCTCCTGCCTCAGCCTCCCAAGTAGCTGGGATTATAGGCACCTGCCACCATGCCCAACTAATTTTTGTATTTTTAGTAGAGATGAGGTTTCACCATGTTGGCCAGGCTGGTCTCAAACTCCTGACCTCAGGTGATCCACCCACCTCAGCCTCCCAAAGCGTTGGGATTACAGGCGTGAGCCCACGCCTAGCCCACAGTTTAGTTTTATCCTAGTAGAAAGAACCTTGCTTTCTGGAAACACATTTTTTTTTTTTTTTAAGACAAGAGTTTGTGGACAAGGCTGGAGTGCAGTGACATGATCTCGGCTCACTATAGCCTCTGCCTCCCAGGTTCAAGCAATTCTTGTGCCTCAGCCTCCCAAGTAGTTGGGATTACAGGTATGCACCATCATGCCTGGCTAATTTTTGTATTTTTAGTAGAGGTGGAGTTTAGCCATGTTGCCCAGGCTGGTCTTGAACTCCTGAGCTCAAGCAGTCTGCCCACCTCAGCCTCCCAACGTGCCGAGATTACAGGCATGAGCCAACCTGCCAGGCCGGAAACACTCTTAAAATTTGAAGTTAATGAGAAATCTGGGATTTGGTGTCTACTATTATTTTATTCTGGTAATCTTTTGATCCTTTTTTGGTTCCACAGGGCCCAGGATCAGGTGACAACCAGATCTAGTCCCTCTGTCCTCTCAAATAACCACACTGTCTTCATGAGCTGTTTATTAGTCTATCATATAGGAGACTGGTCCCACATGGTCCTTAATATTAACTGATCTGTTTCCTTTGCCAAAAAAGTTTATTACCTTCCTTGGCTACCAAGTGATGATTCCCAGTCTTGAAGATTTAAGTGAAAGAATATCTAATTTGTGGGGAAAGGGCACAGGTCAATTGTCAACTCCCTGTTAAAAGGACAAGCAGCCGGGCGCGGTGGCTCAAGCCTGTAATCCCAGCACTTTGGGAGGCCGAGGCGGGTGGATCACGAGGTCGAGAGATCGAGACCATCCCGGTCAACGTGGTGAAACCCCGTCTCTACTAAAAATACAAAAATTAGCTGGGCATGGTGGTGCGTGCCTGTAATCCCAGCTACTCAGGAGGCTGAGGCAGGAGAATTGCTTGAACCCAGGAGGCGGAGGTTGTGGTGAGCCGAGATCGCGCCATTGCACTCCAGCCTGGGTGACAAGAGCGAAACTCCATCTCAAAAAAAAAAAAAAAAAAAAAAAAAGACAAGCAGAAGAGAAGTTGACATGCTGTGACCAAATTGTACTATAGATGAGATTTTAAGAAGCAATTATCTTAGAAAGTAAAGGTTACTGGAGCCTAGAGTAATCCTGATCATGTAGTGTACCAGCTGATATTTTCTGAGAAATAAATTGCCTATAATTAATTATCACATTTTCCAGAATGGGCATCTGTTTTCTTAAGCCAAGGAAGTGTGTGTATTTGAGAGATCCACTTGATCCATATAGTATGTCAGTCTGAAAAGGATAAGATAGGTTGCTTCATCAGCCTGGTGTCCTGGAATGATTTTCTTTTTCTTTTTGTGACAGAGTCTCACTCTGTCACCCAGGCTGGAGTGCATTGGCACGATCTCAGTTCACTGCAACCTCCACCTCCTGGATTCAAGTGATTCTCATGCCTGTGTCTCCTGAGTAACTGGGATTACAGGCACATGCCACCACGCCCGGCTAATTTTTGTATTTTTAGTAGAGATGGAGTTTCACCCTGTTAGCCAGGCTGGTCTCAAACTCCTGACGTCAGGTGATCCGCCCACCTTACCCTCCCAAAGTGTTGGGATTACAGGCATGAGCCACTGTGTCCAACCGGAATGATTTTCTGGAGTCCCTGTGCTTGCTATTTTCCCTAATCACTTGGAATCTGGAAGAAACCCAGCAAACCTCTCTGAATATTTAAAGTCTCTTTAACAGGGCTAATTAGATAAAGAGATGATACCAGTAACTACCTTCATCAGATAGCACTCCCATCCTGAATTGAAAAGAACATTGCTTGAAAGTTTGGAAGTCTCTGGGTATGGTGGCTGATGCCTTGTAATCCTAGCACTTTGGGAGGCAGAGGCAGATGGATCACCTGAGGTCAGTAGTTCAAGACCAGACTGGCCAACATAGTGAAACCTTGTCTCTACTAAAAATACAAAAAATTAGCTGAGTTTGGTGGCGGGTGTCTGTAATCCCAGCTATCAGGGAAGCTAAGGCAGGAAAATCACTTGAACCCAGGAGGCAGAGGTTGTGGTAAGCCAAGATTGCACCATTGCACTCCAGCCTGGGCAACAAGAGTTAAACTCCATCTCAAAAAATGAAAGAAAGAAAGTTTGGAAGTTACTATGGTATACAGTATTTTGCAGATAATTGTTAACCTTTGTTTTTCTTTTCTTTTTTTTTTCTTTTAAAGATACAGGGTATTGCTCTGTCA